TGGAAGTCCACAGGCACCTACGTTGACGAGGTTCCCCCACCTGGGGCGAACATCGTCAGTGGCATGTGGATTTTCCGGGTGAAGCGGCCGCCGGGTTCTCCGCCTGTCTTCAAGGCGCGTTACGTGGCTCGAGGCTTCAGTCAGCGGCAGGGAGTTGACTACTTTCAGACCTTCTCTCCCACCCCGAAGATGACCACTCTTCGGGTGCTGCTACACATAGCCGCTCACCGTGACTACGAGCTTCACTCTCTGGACTTTAGCACAGCTTTCCTACAAGGTAGCCTGCACGAGGAGATCTGGCTGCGCCGCCCACCTGGCTTCACTGGGTCGTTTCCTCCTGGTACCCACTGGAGCCTCCGGCGGCCAGTCTACGGTCTCCGCCAGGCGCCGCGTGAGTGGCACGACACACTGAGGACTACGCTTGCGGCTCTTGGGTTTGCTCCTTCTACTGCCGACCCGTCGCTGTTTCTGCGCACCGACACCTCTTTGCCGCCGTTCTACATCCTCGTGTACGTCGACGACTTGGTCTTCGCTACAGCTGACACTGCCGGACTTGCCCACGTGAAGTCCGAGCTGCAGAAGCGACACACGTGCACAGACCTGGGTGGACTGCGCAGCTACCTCGGCTTGCAGATCACCCGGGACAGAGCACGGCGCACCATTACACTGTCTCAGTCACACATGGTGCAGCAGGTCCTTGAGCGCTTCGGCTTCACGTACTCCTCGCCTCAGGCCACTCCTCTGTCTACTCGCCACTCGCTCTCAGCTCTGCCTTCGGATGAGTCCGTAGAGCCGAGTGGCCCGTACCCAGAGCTTGTTGGCTGCCTCATGTACCTGATGACCTGCACGCGACCTGACCTTGCATACCCTCTTAGCATCTTGGCACGCTATGTTGCTCCTGGGAGACACAGACCAGAGCACATGGCTGCAGCGAAGAGGGTGTTGTGCTACTTGTGCAGTACGTCGGGCATGGGGCTCGTGCTTGGAGGGCGGAGTCGAGTGGTTCTTACGGGTCACGCAGACGCGTCTTGGGTCGACGACCTGGCTACACAGCGGTCGTCACAGGGTTACACCTTCAGCCTTGGTTCCGGCTCTGTTTCGTGGCGGTCTACTCGCTCGTCTTCTGTTCTCAGCTCCAGCTGTGAGGCTGAGATCTACGCAGGAGCCATGGCTGCACAGGAGCTTCGCTGGCTGACCTACCTGCTGACTGACCTTGGAGAGCCGCCTCGTTCTCCTCCAGTTCTGTACGTAGACAACAAGGCCATGCTGGCCTTGTGTCGGGAGCACAGACTGGAGCACAGAACGAAGCACATTGCTCTTCGGTACTTCCTTGCTCGTGAGCTGCAGCAGCGTGGTCAGCTGCGCCTTGCTTACGTGGCCTCTCAGGCCAACACTGCTGATATCTTTACCAAGGCACTTCAGCCTTGTGATCATCAGCGCTTTTGTACTATGCTAGGTCTTGTGCCTACTTGGCCTCACTTGCTCACTTCTTGACCTTGCTTGTACTGTGATCTATATGTATACCTGCACCCGCATGCTTACCCTTGCTAGGTTGAGATCACTGCATTGTTTGTTCACCTTGATATATACCTCAGCTTGTGAACTGGCCTTGTGGCCTTGTGCTTGTGCTCAGAATGCGTGGTGACGTTGTGATCCACCCTGAGCTTGTTTTGCTTTGTTTCCTCTCTTGACTGGTCTTGTGACCGTTTGTTTTGTTGGCTATCCCCCACTTTGCCTATGGGGGTGTGTCAAATTATATGTTTAATATTATGTAGGCTGTAGTGGGTTTAGCCTTAGGGGGTACAGAAACTTGCTCGACACTTGTTTGTACCACCCTCCAAACCCTAATCCATCATACCTTCACACTATTCTGAGAACCCGCGCCTTTCTAACCAGCACAGGGCTAAACACAGGGCCCCACCTTTGGATCCAGTGGCTCTTTGGACTTACTACTTGCCTTCGAGACCTTCTGGGCGTGGGGTATGCGAAACGTCGGTGGACTTTGGCCGGTAGGGAGCTCCTTCTGCTACCGCCGCTTAGCCGCAAAACTCGGCCTCAGCAAAAAGTCGTCGCAGTAGGTCGTTTTCTCCCCTCCTGAAGCTCGGAATCCGTTTCTCTCGCCAGACCCGTATTTGTCGCAACTCCGTATATTGTAGCCGGTAGACTAGGCGAAATTCGCGTGTCTAGACGCTGCGATAAACCGTTGTCCTCGTGGGTGTACTGCCCCGTCTGCGACACAACTTCCCTTGATCAGGGGGAAACTGTGCCGCCTGAAGTACAGTGTCGGCTGCTGCTGTTGCTCCGAAATTTTCGGCCGACGTTGTTGCAGGCGCAGAATTGACCCTAACGCGAACAGTCTAGTCGTAGGCGGCCTTTTCCGCACTTTTCGGTGGTTTGAAAATAACTTCCGTCCCACACTGTGCCGCTCCTGCCGAAAACGCCAACGACGCACCCTCCTGTAGCCACACCGGCCACACCCGGGCTGGACGACGGTAGACCCCCGCTTTCTTCGTGCAATCCTCACGCCGTCACTCCGCGCCGTTGCATTTTCTGACGCAAATCACCATGCGCCTGGCTGCTCGCACAGCAGTCGTTTTCCACGTGCTGCTACCCGAAATCTTCGCGCACAGTGACCACGATCGTCACTTGCCGAAGACCTCCAACGGACTGGTGCGCAACGTGACGAAGACGCTCGGCGCCACGTACTGCATGCAATCCGCTCCGAAATTGTCGCGCGCAGTTGTCGACCACACGCCGTCGCAACTCGCACGACGATCTTGCTTCCGACATCTTCGGACGTGCAATGACGGAGATCCTGTCGACGTCAGCTGCCACACAAATTAACTCCGAAAATGCCGAAACGAGTACTGTTAACTCACGCATTAATTGCGACGACAGCAAAAGCTGTCCGCCACCCGGGGGGAGGGAGGCCACGGTCGATCTTGACCGTCGAGGGCAAGGATCCGTCGGTGCCGCAGGAGCGCCAGGGAAATCCATGGCCGCTAGGAGTAAATACCCGTTCTCCTGGCCGGCTACTGCGCTGCTCCTGTCACCACGGCATCCTTCCCTGTCCCCCCCCCGAGGGGTAATACACTCTAAAAAACGGGGAACCTAGGAACTTAGGCTCTGATACCAAGTGTTATGAGTTGTACTAAGAAGAGTGCGCGGAAGACTTTATAAAAAGGATGATGAGTACAGCATTGTTAGAATAGTAGCTAGAGAGAGCCTTAGGGTTTGGTGGGAGAGAGTGTTGGCCAAGCAAAGAAAGGGGGTTCACTATAGGTTCGAGGGTACAAATTGGAGACAAAGGAGGTGCACCACCAATACAAAGAGTTTATAACTACACTAAAGCTACAGCTACAGGCAGGTACATAAATATATATAAATATATATTCTAACACTCCCCCATAACTGCCTGCAGCAGGAGCTTGTGCAGCAACAACTCCTGGATGGGTACACCACGAACAGAGAAAGCAGCAACAGGAGGCAAGTGCAATGACAACCAGTGCAGTGGTGGCAGAGACAGCTGCAGCAAGCCCTGAGGCAAGAAAGAGAGAACGAAGACGATGTGCTGTGGCGCGCTTAGTTTGCAGCTCAACAGCAAAGAAGACGAACGAAGACGATGTGCTGTGGCGCGCTTAGTTTGCAGCTCAACAGCAAAGAAGACGAACGAAGAGAGAGAAGCGTCAGGGGCTGCAGAAGTAGGTGCCACATAGCAGTGGACGGCAGCTGCAGATGCGTGGCTACTGGTTCCACCACTCTCTCTTACCCTCCCTTAGCATCTCTCCCCCCCCCCCCTCTCCCCGACAGCAACAAGTGCTGCAGGGAGAGAGTAAGAGGGAAGGAGAGTGGGGGAGGGACGAGCTACTGGTGGTTCACACCCTCCGCCCCCAGAACTCCCGTCCCCCCCCCCCACGGCGGGAGCCGCGGAAGGGAAGAGCGGGGGGGGGGGGGGGGGGGGGGGGGCATACGGAGCTGCCGGTGCCGGCGTCCCCTGCTGGCGCAAGCGCTGGCGTGCGCGGATGGCGCAGGCGCTGGCGCCTCGCGGCTGGCGCAGCGCTGGCGCTTCGCGGCTTGCGCACGCGCTGGCGCTGCGTTCCGCACTGGCGCTGGCCGCGAAGTGCTGGCGCAGGTGCGGGCGTTGGCGCGGACGACGGGCAGGGCGACGCGGGCAGAGTAGGGCGCATCGGGGCGCGACGAACGGGAGGGCGCACGGGGCGCGACTCGGGTGACCCGCGGGGCGCCGAAACGCGGGGCCGCGGGCGACGGGAAGGAGGGCGCACGGGGCGCGACGAGTATGCCTTCGGAGCGCGAATCGAGTGGGGCCTGCAGAGAGCGAAACGCGGGACCCATGATCCTAAAAAAAAATAGGTCCTTAGGACCGATTATTGCTCTGTACCATATTAGAATAGTAGCTAGAGAGAGCCTTAGGGTTTGGTGGGAGAGAGTGTTGGCCAAGCAAAGAAAGGGGGTTCATTATAGGTTCGAGGGTACAAATAGGAGACAAAGGAGGTGCACCACCAATACAAAGAGTTTATAACTACACTAAAGCTACAGCTACAGGCAGGTACATAAATATATATAAATATATATTCTAACAAGCATGACGAGAATGATAAAGAGACGAGCATTTATAGGGTCGAAACCGTGCTAGGCGAGGACCTCGATGTGCGTGGCTCGGGAATGTCGCAATTGGTGCGGGGCGACTCGGGGCTGGTTCGGTGCGAAAGTGTAGGCCGAGCCACACTGACGCGAACTGCTCGGGGCTGTCCTCGCTAAGGACAGTTCTACAGTAATGAATTGCACATTCATTACAGTAGTGCTACAACAATAATCACAAAAAATGCAGGATCAACTAAAAGATGTGTGAAATGTTCATTGCTAAGCAAATGCGCCAGACTGGATCGCCCAACGGAGTGGTGAAGAACAAGTGCAACAACCAAGTACAATAAGCAATATAAGAATGTGTACTGTGTACACCCTGCGGCAGTTGAAAATCACTAACCAGGCAAATGAAACGGAAGTGGAAGCGCGTTACCACCCTCCCTCCAAGTAATTTCAGGGAGCGGAGGTGGCTTCCGCCTGTTACTCAACACCACTCCCCCCCCTCGCACCCACCCGCCCACTTCCAGAGCGCTTCTTGCCTTCTTCTTGGTCGCCTTGGGGGGCTTGGGAGGCTTGGGGGGCGGGCGCGGAGGCGGTTTAGGCGGAGGGCTTTTTTGCGGTTTAGGGGGAGGTCTGGGCGGAGGGCTCGGGGGCGGGGATGGGGGCGGGCGTGGGGGAGGCTTGGGGGGAGGGCTTGGGGGCGGGGATGGGGGCGGGTTTGGGGGAGGTCTGGGGGGAGGTGGAGGGGGCGGTGATGGGGGTGGGTTCGGGGGAGGGCTGGGGGGCGGACTTGGCGGGCTTGGCGGAGGGGGACTCGGTGGGGGCGGGGGACTTGGGGGCGGGGAAGGCGGAGGCGGCGGCGGGGAAGGGGGAGGCTGCGGCGGAGGCGACGGCGGCTTTGGGGGGCTTGGGGGAGGCCTCGGGGGGGGAGGCGGCTTGGGTGGGGAAGGTGGCTTAGGCGGAGATGGCGGCGGCGGGGGACTGGGCGGAGGGGAAGGCGGCGAGGGCGGCGGAGGCGGTGGCGGGGAGGGGGAAGCGACAAACTTCTGCACGCATACGGATGTAGCGAAGAAATCATAACCCGACTCGGTTGTGCCTAGGTTAATAAACCCAGCTGTATCGGTCTGAACCGCACCGTCTGCTGCAAGTTTCAAAGAATAAACTCCCTCCCAGATAGCCATTAATGCCACCGGAGCGTCTAAGGAGCTTCCGGGGTAGAGCGCTAAGCGCGCGTAGGTTCCGGCACTTAAGAACTGAAACGCGCCGGCAGAAGCGGTAGAAGCGCACCCGCCGGTTTCGGTATAAGGCACGGAGTCAAGCGTGCCGAGGTAGCTCTGCCCATTGCCGCCCGTCTTGTACGACGACGTGCTTGTAACGAGGACGTTCTTATACGTGGCGTCGATTGCTAGTGTCGACGGGGTGCCTGTGGTGAGCGTGGTCGAGGAGAGAGGCGACGCGGGAAGCGCGGCTCCAGCCAACGGAAGCGCGTAGGTGTAGAGAATATTCGAGTCGTATCTGAGTAAGGCTATGAAGCCGCCTCCCGGAGAGCACGCCGCTTGCCGAATCGCGTATGAAGCTGAGATGTATTTAATCGACGAGGCGTCGGTTTGGAATGTACCCGTTACAGGGTCGATGGGGACGGTGACAACCACGTCAGAGTCATCCGCGGTGACGTGGCAAGTCAGGACGAGGAAGTCTGTCGGTGACGCAGCTGGCGAAGAGCAGAACGTCGCCGACGTGCACTGGTAACCCGACCCCACCAGTTTTGTAACCGTCTTCTTAGTCCTATCCACCGACACCGCCCCTCCTGCCGAATCCCCCCCATCTGCCACCACGAGAAGGTTCTCGGAAGGTCCTCCCAGCACCGTTGTCGTGCTCGAGAACCCGGCCGGAAGGTTCACGGCCGGCAGCGCCACTGGCCCGTCTGTCGTGTAGCTGATGACGTTGAGTCGCGAGGTGGTGGAGGTGACGTAAGCAGTGCCGTCCGTGGCGACGCTGCAGTCCACGCGCCACGCGTCCGTGTCGCTATCCGCGGCGCCGACCGTTCCGATCTCGCGTCGCGTGCGAAGGTTCACCTGCCATGCGACGTTTTTAATGTCGCCCGTCAGCGGGTTGTGCACCCCGCCGGCGATAATTCCGACGGCAACGCCGAGCGTGGAATACGGCAGAGATTGCGCTGCTGCGGGGGCGGTAAGGAAGGCGACTGGGAGGAGTAGAGAGGTCAGGAGGAGGGGGAGGAGGAGAAGGTGGGAATATCGCGATCGCATTCGAGCGTCCCCGTATCGTCTTCCACGGTGGATGTAATGTCGAGTCGGCATGGGCCACCGCGGCTCCATTTTCTGGCCCACGCGGGAGGAGCGGCAGGCTTCAGGCGTGCATATTCACGCCATATCCTGTCAAGAAAAGGGGTATGTTGACGCGAGACACGCCAGAATTCCGTGACTTCGGGTTACGACCTAAATAATCACGATGGTTGGGTGCAGTATGTGCCGCAGGACCCGAAGTATCGCCTGTATGTGGTCAGTTTGGCGAGACCGGGGAGGGATTCTGATTTGGGAGCCTGGTCTTGGTCATTTCGGCGTGCTGTTGTGTGCAGGGGAGGCCGTCGCTGCTTCAGGTGGAGGTAAGTGGGCTAACAGCTACAGTTAATTTCTCCTGGTGAGAAGAGTTTGGCTCGGGCTAGGTTTGGGAAGGTTTGGGAGATGAAGCATCAAAACATCATTTTCCCTCAAAACTGCCCCGAGCCAGCTATTCCAGTCAGCGGCAATCACTAAGTGTGCACGAGTTCGTTTTTTTTTTTTTTTTTTTTTTTTTTTCATAGCAAGTGAATGTCATTCGGCAAAGAAAAGCATCGCACAAGAGGAGAGGAACGGGAAAGAAAGACACCAGAAACAACTCAAACGCAACACCCATAAAAAGCCCCATAAAAATACTCTATAAAGAAAAAACCCAACCAGGATCCCCTACCAGACGTCCCATCTCGCACCCCATTCCCCCTCGTTCAGAGTTGAATCTGCTCTCTGTGCATACAAAACTGAACGAGCGTTCATCTGTATACTTTAATATCCACACTGCTTAGTATTAGAGAGTATACGAAATGAAAAAGCGTACGGTGAGCCCCAGACCCGTGTTGTGACGGTTGGATCTGGGGAGGGGATAGAGTGCGAGCAGTAGGGAACGAGGGAACCGAATCCCAAGCCTAAGCGTGAGCTTTGGCATCCACAGTACAGTACATGGCTTGTCATTACGTGTCACTGTAGGGTTGTTCGGGAACCACGATCTCGCCGTGTTCTTTTTCTGTCACAGGGAATCCACCTGACAAACATCGATGAAAATGCACCTGGTTCGGGAATGCTGCCGCAGCAAATCCTACATTTTTGTCACCACCTCGGGTGCTTCTGGAGGGGGAAGGTGGCGGCGGAATGGATGAAATTCGTGCAGCCAATGTGCTTGTGTTAATGCATCATCGATACTGTGTTTGGTGACCATACCAGCTTGTGTGAAGCTTAAGAACAAAGACATTCCTGTATGTTGAACCTAGGATCATGCGTTGTACGAATTAAAACGTGTGGAAAAACGTACATCATGGGTGCAGATACATACATATCATAAGAATTATCAATATTATATTGAAGGAGCATTGAAATATGAAGCGTGGTGGTGGTTTTATAGAATTGTAATGATTGTACAAAGTAACTCATAAGTTGTACCTAAAATCAGAAGCAAATATACCTCTCTATGAATCACGTGAGGAAGTAGCTAAAGGGAACGTGGGGCTGTGTATCTGTGAAAACAGCTGAAAGCAGCAAAACCGACCTTGGCTTTTTGGTTTTCCACTGCCTCGACTCGAGTCATCCATGCTGCCTTCATCGACAGGCAAGATTTCGCGGTACTACTATTCCCAAGGGTTGGGTGGTTCAAAACCAGTTTGATTTTCCACCTGACCCGAGTACAGTATTCAGAGATGCGCTCGTTGACGAAAGTGTACACCTTGACCGTGCTTTTCCTAAACGTCCAATCACTGCCTCCAACCTTCTCTCCACCCTCGCCTCTTCCAAACCCTTTCCACTCGCCAGCCACCCCTGTCCCCCTAGCCCAGTTTCCCAGACTCCCTCTACTCCACACTCAACAAGCATCCAGCGTCGGGGAACTAGTTGCTGTCCACACCACACAAGCCGTGACGGAACTGCGAGTTGCAGGTTGATGGGAGCGCTTTTGCGTTTCGCCAGAGCTGCCCAAGCGAAAACGCTGTTTGCGCCAGACATCTATGTTTCGCCAGTGGTTACAGCGTGATTCCGATTTCGCCAACTTTGAACCCCACAGAGTAAACTACTTGCTTTCATAAATCTAAGAACTCGTTTTCCGAGTAACCCTCACGACGTTTTCTCGATTGCTGTTGCCTGCAGTCTGCGACACGACCGACCTCCATAGATGTTCCATAAGTGTCGGTTATTGAACAGTGAAAGAGTGCTCACACTTCTTCAGTATATTTCATGCGTGTCTATAATCTCATGAGCGTGCACACGGCTCGGTCAACACAGCTATTAGTCGTGTTTTAGACTCAGCTGGGCTTCGAGCCGCTTCTCGAGAGGTCTCCATAGAAGCATCCTCGGCATTAAATGCTTCTGTATTAGTCTGCATAGGTTAAGCGTTCAACCTTCGCACCAGCACCTCCAGCTAGCACCGTCAACTACCGCTGTATAGACCCAGCAGCACCGAACAGCACCGAGCAGCACCGAATAGCACCGAGTAGCACCGTGCAGCTATGGACCCCAGCAAGCGGTACCAGGTGCGGCCCAGCAGCGCCAAGTACGACGCGCGGCCCGGCATCAAGTGGTCCGACAGCCTCTGGGGCTTCCGCGTCATCGTCGCCGTCATTATCGGCCTCGCTGTAGCGGGATTCGCTTTCGTGTAGGTTTCCGTATAAGAAAGGGCTCCCCTTTCGTGTGGGTCTTTGTACTCGATAAGGGCTCGATTTCGTTTAGGTCTTTGTAATGAGTAACTATTCGACTTCCTCTCGTGCTCATCAGCGCTGTGCTTTTCGACCTCGTTACAGCGAGCTTCGCTAAGGATTTGCATGTGTCGGGTTTTATTTTCATCCCTAGATTCTAAACACCCGCTGTTAAAGACGCTGCCTCTGCTCCCATTTCCTTCCCTACTCCCTCTCCCTGCCCCCTCCCTTCCCCCCCTACGCGCCCGTGCCTCCTTCCGAGCCAGCCTGCCCGGTTTGGCGAGCCCGACCCTGCAGGCGGTGCTGTACGCGGTAGTGAGTGCTGCGGTGTTCCTGGCGCTGCTCTTCCTCTTCCTCGTGCAACACGTCGACCCTGGGATCATCCCGCCTTCTGACATCAAAGGTACAGCCATACGCGTTACAGTCCTTGCTCCCTTTCCCCACCCCCGACCCCCTTCCTCTTCCTCTTCTCTCTTCCTCGTGCGACACGTAGACCCTGGGATCATCCCTCCGTCTGGCATCAAAGGTAAGCGTGAAACTACAAGCTTTTAGCCCCTCCTTCCATTCTCCCTGTTCCCTCGCTCCCCCCTCCTCTTCCTCTTCCTCGTGCAACACATCGACCCTGGGGTCGTCCCTCCCTCTGGCATCAAAGGTAAGCCACATCCCTCCCTCCTTTCAACTTCGTCATCGACTCACACGGCCAGTGGGCATGCCGCCGCCTGCTGCTGCTGATCCCTTACCTCCTACTGCTCTCTGTCCCCCTGCTGTCTACTCCCCTCCAGACCCCGAGGTGGTAGCAGCAGAGAGGGGCCAGATCTCCCCAGACCTCGTTATTGACTCGCACGGCCAGTGGGCGCGCCGCCGCCTGCTGCTGGACGGCCGCTGCCTCTCTTTCTTACCCCCATTTCCGGTTCCTTCCTGCTTCTTCTCCCCCTGTCCAGACCCCGAGGTAGTAGCAGCAGAGAGGGGCCAGATCTCACCCGACCTCGTGATCGACTCACATGGCCAGTGGGCGCGCCGCCGCCTGCTGCTCATCCACGCCCCCCTGCTCTGCTCTCTGTCTCCCTGCTGTTTACTCCTTCAGACCCGGAAGTAGTAGCAGCAGAGAGGGGGCAGATCTCACCTGATCTTGTCATCGACTCGCACGGCCAGTGGGCACGCCGCCGCCTGCTGCTGGACGGGCGGTCGGAGATCACTCAGCGCTACTGCAGCACGTGCAATGTGTGGCGCCAGCCCAGGACTAGTCACTGCTCGCGATGCGGGTTCTGTATGGAGGTATGTACTGTGCTCACTTGTCTGTAGCACGGCTGTAGCCCAGGGTGATCAAGCCTGCTGCTGGACGGGCGGTCGGAGATCACTCAGCGCTACTGCAGCACGTGCAATGTGTGGCGCCAGCCTCGCACTAGCCACTGCTCTCGATGCGGCTTCTGTATGGAGGTAAGGCGTCAGCTGTTCTCTTGCTGCAGCAGCACGTGTCTGATTTTGTGACCACTAGCCACCACCACTGCTTCTTCACGCTCCTTTTCTTCCACTTTTCGCCCACACTCCTCAACGGCACCCCTTCCCCTCTTCCCCCTCCCCCCTCCTTCTTTCCCCTCCCTATCCCTATCCCTCCTTCTTTCCCCCAAAGTGGTTTGACCACCACTGTGGTGCGGTGGGCACGTGTGTGATGCGCAAGAACCAGCCAGCAATAACAACTGACTCTTCACTCCCTCACGCCTCTTCCCTCCCCCCACCCCCCCGTCCCCCACCTTCCCCCCCACCCCCCGTGGTTCGCAGCGCTTTGACCACCACTGTGGCGCGGTGGGCACGTGTGTGGCTCGCAAGAACCACCGCTTCTTCACTGGCTTCCTCTTCTCGGCTTCCCTGGTAAGGCACCTCCCCTGTAAGCTGCGCACAGTGGGTCACACATGCTGCTGCACTTGCACACCCCACGTGTGTGGCACGCAAGAACCACCGCTTCTTCACCGGCTTCCTCTTCTCGGCTTCCCTGGTAAGGCACCTCCCCTGTAAGCTGCGCACAGTGGGTCACACATGCTGCTGCACTTGCACACCCCACGTGTGTGGCACGCAAGAACCACCGCTTCTTCACCGGCTTCCTCTTCTCTGCCTCGCTGGTAGGTCGGGGACTGTGGTAGTATGGGTGGTGGTAGGGGTGGTGGTAGGGGTGGTGGTAGGGATGGTGGCATGGCAAGTATGCTGACACACTCGCCCCATCCCTCCACGTGTGTGGTGCGCAAGAACCACCGCTTCTTCACCGGATTCCTCTTCTCCGCTTCTCTGGTAAGCCAGGGATGGTGGCACCTAGGTCACACAGATCACACACCTAGGGATACGTGAGGCACCTAGATCAGGCCTGCTGCTCTATGCGTCTGTTCTTCATACTGCCGCTTGCCATTCCTCCCCTTCCTGTGCCCTCTCGTCCCCCTGCTTCCCCCAACAACAGGCTTCAGGCCTGCTGCTCTATGCGACAATCCTGCGACTCAAGGCAGAGAACTGGGATAAGTGAGTGCGATGGTGATTGACAGGCGAGTAGTTATGTGAGCGTGTTTGATCGGATCAGTGCGAGTGCTGAAGACTTTCCATAAGCTCGATGCGACAATTCTGTGGCTCAAGGCAGAGAACTGGGATAAGTGAGTGCGATGCTTTTGAGTGGTTATGATGCGTTTGCTTATAATGACTGTGTCATAAATGCGTGCGCTAGGGTTGCAGAGCAGGAGGGGCATGTGTTCTTCCTTGTCCTCCTCACCCTCATCCCTCTTTTTCTACTGCCTCTGTTCCCCACCTCCCACCTCTCCCGCTTCCCGCCTCTCACCTCCCACCCTCCCACCTCTGCCAGGGGTCTAAGTGAGCAGGAGGGGCATGTGTTCTTCCTCATGCTGCTCGCCCTATCCCTCCTCTGCCCCATGTCCCCCCACTGTCCCCACTTCGGCAACCCCCCACATCTTACCACCCTTTCCCCAGGGGACTGAGCGAGCAGCAGGTGTATGTGTTCTTCCTCATGCTGCTCGCCCTCGCCTACTTCTACACTCCCCCACTCCCCCTGTCTCCATGCCCCCTTTCTCTCCCTTCATGCTCCCTCCTGCCCACACCACACACCAGGGGCCTAAGCGAGCAGGAGGTGTATGTGTTCTTCCTCATGCTGCTCGCCCTCATCCCTTCCTTACTTACTGTGTGTGTCTCCCACTACCCACCTACCACCTCCCACCGCCCACCCTCCAACTCTCCCACTTATCGCAGGGGTCTGAGCGAGCAGGAGGTGTATGTGTTCTTCCTCATGCTGCTCGCCCTCGCCTACTTCTCACCTCCCACGTCCCCATGCCCCTTCCTCTTCCTGTGTTTGTGTTCCCCACATACCTCCTCTTCCCCCCATTGTTCCAACCTCCCCCTCCCCAGGGGCCTGAGCGAGCAGGAGGTGTATGTGTTCTTCCTCATGCTGCTCGCCCTCGCCTACTTCTACACATCGCTGCTCTTCTTCTTTGCCGTCATGCACGGCACCATTCTGCTCTGTGGTACGTGTGCTGTGCTCTGCTCCTCCTCCCTTGAGGGATGAACACACCTTCTCCTCTTCCTTCTTTACCCCAAGCCCACTTCTACACATCACTGCTCTTCTTCTTTGCTGTCATGCACGGCACCATTCTGCTCTGTGGTACGTGTGTTTCCCTCCTCTTACTGGTTCCCTGCTCCTGGTCTGCGGCACCCCTCCCTTTAGTCAAGGCTCCTATCCCTCCCTTCTTCCCCAATCACTCCCCTATCCCCCTCTCTTCTCCCACCGTCCCATTCCCCATTCTTTCCCCCCGCCCCCGCTCCCACCCCACTTCACCCCACCCCACCCCACCCCACCCCACCCCACCCCACCCCACCCCACCCCACCCCACCCCACCCCACCCCACCCCACCCCACACTGCACCAGTGCGTCCGATCCAGGCAGAGCCCGCATCCCACCCATCCCTTTACAAATCCTTATCCCCCTCCATTCTCCTCCCTTCTTTCCCCAACGCACAGACTGCACCACCAAGCAGTATATCCGATCCAGGCAGGGCCGAGGTTCGGAGTGGCAGCGCCCGAGCCTGCACGTGTGGCTCGACAACATGAACAGTATCTGCTGCGCGGAAGTGCGCAGCAAACACGTCGCTACAGTGAATGCCGTTGTAGAGGGTACGGCTCGTGCTCAGGGGCTTGCACCCGTGTGATTGAAGCACGAGATCTCTACAGTATTTGCTGCGTGGAAGTGCGCAGCAAACACGTCGCTACAGTGAATGCCGTTGTAGAGGTTACAGCTCGCACCCGTGTGAGCAGTACATGTAATCTACAGTAACTGCTGACAGGAATTGCGCAGCAAACACATCGCTATAATGAATGCGGTTGTAGAGGGTACGGCCCGCGCCCAGGGGCTCGCACCCGTGTGATTGGGGCACGAGATCTCTACAGTACTTGCTGCGCGGAAGTGCGCAGCAAACACATTCCTACAGTGAATGCCGTTGTAGAGGGTACGGCTCGCAGTCACCTGACAAAAAGTGCACAGGGTTTGGCTTGTAGTGAATGCGGTTGTAGTGGGCACAGCTTGCGCAGCTTTTCACCCGTGTGAACAGGTCATGCAATCTCTACAGTCTGACAAGAAGTGTGCAGGAAACGCTAATAGTGAATGCGGTTGTAGAGGGTACAACTTGCGCCCAGGGGATTGTACCATTTTGAGCTTCCACCTGTGTGACTTGGCATCCATTACCGAATGGTGCATAAATTGGAACCTCTACAGTTTCTACTACGCAGGGTTGCGCTGTGAACACATGCTAGTAATTGCAGCTTACCGTATGACACTATAGAGGGTACGGCTCGTGCCCAGTGCAGTACACCAATGTGAACAGTGCGTTATTGTCAAGATAGGAGATAAAGCGGTGGCAAAGAAAGCGAGTTGGAAGCGTATCGGATCAAATCAGTCTTCTGGCAACCAGGTGTGCTGGCTCTTCTCCCCCTTGTTATTTTCCCCTGAATAGAACAAAAGGGGTTTCCACACGCAGTCAAAAGGCAGGACAGGATTGGAGAGAGGGTTGAGTTCACCAGTGGCCCTCCCACCAGCAAGCACCAGCACCAGCAACAACCTGCACCAGCAAGCACCTGCACCTGTTCGAATCAATCAACCTGGCTTCTGGTGCTTCAAGTGCAGTCACGCAGGTTCAGTTATTAGAATGTATAGAAACCCCAAACAACTTTTCATGCGCCTCAAAAGTCAATCATTATGGCTTCTGCTGCTTCAAGTGCAGTCACACGGGTTCAATTTTTAGCCTTGTATAGAAACCCCAAAGAAAGTCAGATATGATAATAACACATCTGTAACCATGCCCACGAAATGGAGACATTCTATTGGTAGTCAAAGAGAGTGGGGCAAAATGGGTGTGGGGAAGAGGCCAATGGAGGGGGGGGGGGGATGGAGGATTGGAATGGGATGGGATGGGATGAGATGGGATGGGATGGGATGGGATGGGATGGGATGGGATGGGATGGGATGGGATGGGGTGGGGTGGGTTGGGATGGGATGGGATGGGATGGGATGGGATGGGATGGGATGGGATGGGATGGGATGGGATGGGATGGGATGGGATGGGATGGGATGGGATGGGATGGGATGGGATGGGATGGGATGGGCGGAAGGAAGGGCAAGGCACTCACGTGTTCATCATGAGCGTGATGTTGTCTCCTCTCAGCAATATGCGGCCTGGGAAAAGGAGAAATGGTAAGAGCATAAAGGAAAAGAGGGGAGGAGAAGGGAGGACAAGAGGGGAGGAGAAGGAGAATAGGGAAGAGGAGAATTAGGGAAGAGAAGGGAGGAGAAGAGCGGAGGAGAAGGAAGCAGGAGCAGCGGGGAGATGGGATGCAAGGAGATTTGGCAATGAGACAAATTAGAGAGGGGAGATGGTGGAAAAAAAGGCAAAGACCAGACGCATGTTCCTTTTTGTGCTCCTGGGATGCAGTGCTGCTGGCAAGACAATATGAGGAGTGCAATGACGAGACGAGAGAGATGTGAGGTGTGGCAAGGCAGGGGAGTAGAGTGGGGTGCGGTGGAGTGGAGTGCGGTTGAGTGGGTTGCTGTGGAGTGGGAAGGGATGTAACATACCGAGTGGTTTCCTGGTTTGCTTCTTCATGGAGATCTCCTCTGCATCTTCCAGCACCAGGTTCATGTACTCGTCGAATCCCTGAGAGGGGGCAAGGCAGACAAGACACGAGAGTGGATAAGAGTGGAGAGAGGGTGAGAGGGTACACGAGAGAGGTCGCCTCCTCTGCATCTTCCAGCACCAGATTCATGTACTCGTCGAATCCCTGCGAGGGGGCAAGGCAGACAAGACACGAGAGTGGATAAGAGTGGAAAGAGGGTGAGAGGGTACACGAGAGAGGTCGCCTCCTCTGCATCTTCCAGCACCAGATTCATGTACTCGTCGAATCCCTGCGGTGGTGGGGGGTTGGGGATTGGAGCACAGACGGGGCAAGAGAAAAGAGGGATGCGGGGCCACATTAAGAGGTCGTGTCCTCTGCATCTTCCAACCCAGATTCATGTACTCGTTGAATCCCTGTAAAGAGTTGGAGCACATGAAGGGGCAACCTCAAGAGGTCGCGTCCTCTGCATCTTCCAGCACCAGATTCATGTACTCGTCGAATCCCTGCGGTGGTGGGGGGTTGGAGCACAGATGGAGAAAGAGAGGGATGAAGGGGCACATAAAAAAGTCGCCTCTTCTGCATCTTCCAGCACCAGATTCATGTACTCGTCAAAGCCCTGAGAGCGGGGGGATTTCCATGAAGGTGGATTGGCGAACAGATGGTGAATGAGAGGGACGGTATGGTAGGTGCGAGACAGTGCAACCATAAAGTGCAAGAACGTGCAATAACGTGCAATAACAGCACAATTGCACAATTACGATGAACATGGTGACAGCTAAGAAAGGAATTCTGCAAATTGGTGGTGCTAAAGGGTTTGCAGAACGGTTGCGCATGATGGGTCTGGTACTCACAATGATTCTTCCCTCGATACGCGTGTCATACTGATACTGCTAGTGTTTGCGTCATTTTGGATCAGTGCAAAAGTTCATGGTGCGTCTAATACTCACAATGATTCTGCCCTCGATCCGCGTGTCCTTCTGCTGATACAGCCAGATCTGAATCCGCGATTTCTGCAGGGAAAGCGCGAAAGACAAGAGGGAGCGCGGCGGACAAGACGGGGGCAGCCAATCAGACACGCCAGAAGCAAGCCACGCACGGAGAGAAAGAGGGGGGATGGCGGGCGGGGGGGCGGCGGGGGGGGGGGGGGGGGGGGGGGGGGGGGGGGGGGGAGGGAAGGAGAGGAGGGGGGTGGGTGGGTAAGTTGTGGATGGAAGTCGTGAGAAAGAAGGCAAGGATGGAGTCAGATGCTCTCGCATTTTCTCAATATTGCGCGAGTCAACACTCAACCCTAGCCGAACCAATCCAGAGGATCGACCATTTGCACCCAATTTTAACCTAATGTTAAAAAATTGCAACGTGCTCTATCTCCCTGATTGGAAAGGAAACAAATTAATTTCGTGCAGGAAGCCAACCGTTACCGTACGGTCACGGAGAGAGGAGCGCATTGGCCCGGACCGAAAAAGAAAGGAAAAAAAAAATTGCACTCACACTTTGTAGGAATCGAAATATCAAGTTCTGAAGCCGTCAACCCCGCCAGAACAATTGCGCGCGACGCACCCACGTACAATCGGGCACACGAGACAGGGACGGAGGGAAAGGGGGGAACGGGTGGAAGAGGGGGGAAGGGGGGAAGGGAGTGGCGGAAAAGGAGGGGTCCGGGGAGGCGGGAGGGCAAGTCGAGGTAGAGATAATAAAAAAGAAGCCATCAGAGTCCAGAGAGGCATGGTACGATAAGATAGAGAATAAGCGAGGCAAAAATTCAGACTTGGGCCAGTGGAGCCCTAAACGCGATGAATGCCATTTACGAGGAATGACGTCTGATTACACAGTTAATCCGTAAAGGAATCTCAAAGATCCGAGCGAGCAAGATTCGTAAACAGCGACAGCGAAGGAATGGCTAGCTGGTGATGCAATCGGCGAAAAACATCACAATCCCGACACAAACACGAGCACAAAACCCGACTCTAGACGAAGAAATTGGTCTTCATTTACTGCACTTCAATTGAAGTTCTCCAGCTATGTAGTAGAAATACTCGGAGACACCTAGAGGCTTAGCACGCACGATGGGCTGGGTCATAATCCGCTGCACTTTGGTGGCCATCTTGGCGCGTCTGGAGTCTTCACGCGAAGCCGCACGCGAAGGTTGAAGGACGTCCGGCGAACAGGAAGGAGAAAGTGCGAAACAACGCTCCTACGGAAAAACGACGACGTGGATAACTGACGATTGACCAGCAATCAGCTCTTCCAAAAGACAGGAGACGAATTGACGCTAGGAGAGACTAGTGGAACGAGCGGCCTAATGTGGAATGGCAAGTGGGAAAATTGGGTTTGCTTATAACAGGCAGATTCCGCACGTCTAGAGGAAAGTCGAGGAGAAAGAGGGAAAAGAGTAGTGAACCTACTAATTAGTACGAAAAACGGTACGAGCCGTGTAGGAGGTGTTGATCTGGTTTGGAAAGGGAGATCGAGAGAGTGCAGCAGGGCTGAAGAACACAAATCTCACCGCACCGCTCAACCGTACTGCCAAGCTGCATATTGCTCTGCAACCTACCGGATCCGAAGGAACCGTCATAAATCGGCATACGCTTCACAAGGACTAGCGAAAATGTGCAACCCCACCACCCACAAGTTGTTTCTTACCCCGCTATTGAAAACAATATACACGGAAGTTCTCTTGTGAGCAAAACGGTCCAGCTACTAACAGAGATAACACTTAAAACCCAGCACCCGAATCACAGAACGCAATCACAAACTGGGCCCAGTTTGTGACTTGCTCCTGCTGGTTCGGGGAAGGTTTAGGGGAGGTTTCCTAACCTCAAATTCTCTGCTTTCCCAAACCCATTTTCCTGCGTTGACTTGTGTTGAGCAATTCGGGTGTTGCCCTTTAACGGGTGGTACTATTTTTGGGGTTAAACAATAATTCATGCAAGCCCTAGTTATCTCCCTATTCTTGATACTACATTACACATTTGAAGATGAAGTACCGGTACCCTGAGAGCAGCTGACTCCCCTCCCCCAGCAGCAGGCAGCTGCGACTGCTGGTGTTGGATTGGAAGCAGACGAAATGTTACAAATGCCATGGAGGTGACTGAACGGCCTTTCTAAACACGGACCAGCAGCAGCAGGCAGCTGCATCTGGTGGTGTTGGAAACAGACAAAATGCACCAGTGTGCCGCCCGGATAGACGGCAAACACACTCCCTCCAATGCGCTTGCGACAAATGGCGCACAGCCGGTCCCCCGTGATGCTGACGTGGCGCTTCCTGCCATTCGCCAACTCCTCCCGAAGCTGTGTTGTGGGAAAGGGGAGGAGAGGGGGAAGTGGGAAGGTTGGGTTGGGAAGTGGGTGAAAAATTCATGTGAGGGAAGACATATAGCACAGACACTGTCCCCCTGATGCTCACAACTCGCCCCCTCCTCCTTGTATGGGAGCAAAGAACATGCAAAATGGAGGGGGCGGGGGCGGGGGCAGGGGGGAGGGGGAATGAGGGTGCGAAGAGGGGTGGAAGATTGAAGTAATGAACGCAACATGTGGGATGGAGGGGCGAGGGGATGAAATGAGTAAAAAAGGAAGATAACCACATAGAGCAGCACTCACCTGCCGCACCGCAACCTTCACCAACCGTAATTCATCGCACTGCACCACTCACCTGCATGTTTTCACTCCGCCTGAGTTCTTCACCGCAGCACTGTTCCTCCTCTGAGCATGAAGCAACACTCACCTGCTGCACTGCCCCGTTCACCCGCCACACTGCACCGCACTCCACCGCTCACCTGCAGGTTCTCGCTGCGTCTGAGGTTCTTCACGACAGCACTGTTCCTCCTCTGCTCACTGCCCGCCCGCAGCACCGCCTCTAGATATGGCAGCAGGCTCTGGGAGTGGGGGTGGAGGTGGAGGTAATGTGGAGAGAATCAAAAGTATATCTTCAGGTGGCTTGTGACGAAGGGTATTTTTGAGAATTCTCAAATGTACCCTTCAGAATCAAAAGTATATCTTCAGGTGGCTTGTGACGTGCATGTCACGCGGGACCATGCGCCTCCCACATGGCTTTGAAAGGTTCATGCATCGCCCAGCGCCTCTCCATGACCGCCATTGCTGTTTGGGAGTCACTTGTAAGAATTCTCAAAAGCGTGAAAGAATCATATCATGGTGCTGTGCTGCCCCACACGCGCTGCCCCATGCCCACAGCCCCATATGCGCCCTACCTGTAACGGCACGTCACGTGGTAGCATGTGTAGCGCCTCAAAAGGTTCAATTATCGCCCATCGCCTCTCCATCACCTCCACTGCCGGGGCCACCATCACTCCCTCCCTCAACCCCCACCTGTTCGCCCCCCCTCAGCCCCCACACATTCAGTGCTTCTCAGAGCGCATTATCCCACGAACACCACAGCTCACCTGTAGCGGCACGTCACTCGGTAACATGTGTAACGCTTCGAAAGGTTCAACCATCGCCCACCGCCTCTCCATCACCTCCACCGCTGGAGGCATGATCATGTGCTCACTGCCTCACATACATCACATCACATCTCACCTGTAATGGCACGTCACTCGGTAACATGTGTAACGCTTCGAAAGGTTCAACCATCGCCCACCGCCTCTCCATCACCTCAAGAGCTGCTGCCACCATCACCCCCTCCCTCAGCCCCCACCTGTTCGTCCCCCCTCGCTTCCCAACCACGTCAACCGCCTCACTTGCTTCTCCTTCTCCCTTCTTGCTCTCTGTCACACCCGTGTGGCCCTGCAGGATTGAGGTTGAGGAGACTGGGACAGAAGATGTAAAGGTGCTCCTTCCCTCCCTGTCCCCCCTCTCCTCCTCTTCCACATCTGCTATCACAGCTAGCCTCTTTCCCCTTCTCTCTGCACCATTCACCCTTGCTTCTGCGTCTGCGGCTGCTGTGTCTGCTGCTGCTTCTGCTGGTATTTCTGTCGTCTCTGCTTCTGTTCTGACTCTTTGCTTTTCTGTCTGTCCATCTGCCAACTCTCCCCCTCCATCCACCCTCTCCACACCTTCCTCTCCCTGCTTCCCCTCCTCGCCCTCCCCTTGACTGCTGGGGTAGATCCTCCCAAAGTGGGCGGCAAACTGAGTCAGCGCCACGTCAGACAGCAGCAACACCTGCAGCAGCACCTGGTGGGGCGTGGAAGCAGTAAGGAGAGCGCTAGATCTGATCGCCCCCACATCAGGCGTAGCCTCCTCTCTTGCAACCCCTTTCGTCTCTCCTGCTCTTCCTCCTGCTGCTGCTCCAGCTGCTGCTTTTGCCCCTGCTCCTGCTAATCCTGTTGCCTCCCCCACTGCTGCTGCTGCTACTGCTGGCGCTTGTGCAGTGGCAGCGGCGATGGTGGTGGTGGGAGTGGTAAGTCTGGATTGGAAAGCGGTAATGGAGGAAGAGGAGAAGGGAGGGAGGAGAGGGATGAGTGCAGGAATCTGGGAGTTAGACGAGGAGGCGGATGAGGTGTTGGTGTTGTTGGTGGTGGTTGTGGTGGTGGCGGGAGGAGGAGGAGGCATGCGAGGGGAGATGAAGGGTAAGAAGGAGGAGGGAGGGGTGGGAGAAGGGTGGTGAGAGAGGGAGGCGGCGGATGGGCGCGCGGGCGGAGAGGAGAGGAGTTGGTCGCAGATGGAGATGCAGTGCAGGGGCTGATTTAGCTGCTTGGGGGGTTGGGTAGTGAAGGGAAAACGGAAGAGAGAAGGAGTGTTCGCCACGATATATAAGACTTGTTGCCTGCAAGGAGGGAGAGGAGCTGGTCACAGATGGAGATGCAGTGCAGAGGCTGACTCAGCTGCTCGGGGGTAGGGTGGTGCAAGGATGGAGGAGGTATATGATTTAGGCACCACAAGACAGACCACTTTCACCTGCAGACATTTCTGATGAAGTCAAGAGAAAGCTTCATGTGGCCAGCCACCCCTCCCGGCGGAGAACCCTTTTGAGGCGCCTCAGAATTTGAGGCGATTTTTTAGACACCATATAGAATCACACCGGCTACAACAGGGTGGTACATTGTTAAGGAAAAGGCTTGATACCGTTCTGGCGTAGAGCACGAGCACCATCCACAGCACAGCAGCGCATTAAAACCACACACGGCCTGCCCTACTCCGCTGCCCTTCCTTGCCTCGAGTACTGATTTCCTACCAATGAGGCATCATACCTTCCTGGCATAGAGCCTTCCACAGCAGCACCTTCCGACCTCCCACTGCCTACCTACTGCTGCAGCTGCCCTTCCCAGCATCACATACCATCAATTTGGCCTCTTTCCCAATGAGACATCATACCTTCCTAGAGTAGAGCACAAGCACCATCCACAGCAGCGCATCCCACCCCCCCAATGCCTGCCTGCCTGCACTGTTGCAGCTGCCTTTCCTGACATCAAATACCAATTATGCATGCATTGAGGCATCATACCTTCCTGGCATAGAGCACGAGCACCATCCACAGCAGGGCATCCCACCCCCCCACTGCCTCCACCGCTGCTGCTGCAGCCTCTGCTGCACGCATGGGCGTTCTTGCACCTGCAGGCATGGGTGCTCTTCCTGCTCCTCCTGCTGTTGCTGTTGGTGTGGCCGCAGTGGCTTGGGTAGGTGGATGGGCGTGGGAGTGGAGGCGCAGGAGAAGGGAGGCCTTTTCCTCAAAGAGGGAATCTGGAGGGAGCATTTGAAGCACCTGGGGGGACGAGCAGGGAGGGGGGTTGAAGCGGGTTTGAGGAGGAGGATAATGAGATGGAAAGACAGAGGAGACTTTCAGGGTCTGCTACCTACAAAACATAAGCACTGTCACCCAATTCATCGACATGAAGTTGAGCCGGTTCGACCATTCCCTACAGTCTCATCGCACCTTTCCCCACCCAATCCCACACAATCACACAGAACCATGCCTCAACTCACATCACCCCACCGCACTGCACCGCACCGCACCTCACCTCTGGAATGAGTCGCAGCCTGATCCGTTGCAGCACAGCTGCCAGCTTGGCCCTCTCTGGACCAATCACAGTAGAGCGCTCCCCTGCTGCTGATGTGGCTGCCGCTGATTGGCGGAGCTCCACTTTGACCCGGTGAAGGCTGAGCCGAACCTGAGGTTCGGAAGAGAAAAAGGTGAGGTAAAGCAGAAGTATGGGAGGGGAACGGTGGAAGTATCGGAGAAGTATGGGAACATGCAAGGGAAAAGGTGAAACACTCACATGGGCTCATTGTTTATATGAGATATCTTGGACCTTCAAATCAAATATGGGAGAAGAGATATTTTGAGCCTTCAAATCAAACACACAGACTCACCAGGTCTAGCTGTAGCTGTGATGCTGCTGCCCCCACATCCTGCACCTCCTGACCGCTCCCAACCCCACCGCTTCCCTCTCCACCGGACCCAACCGCACTGCTGCTCGACCGCCTTCCACTCTCCCCACTCGCTCTCCTGCTGCCCCCACCGCCACCGTCGCTGCTGCCCCTCCAACCCTCTCCAAATCCCTCCTGCTCCTCCTCACCCTCCAATTCCCCCTCCCCCACGCCCTCCCCTCCGCCCCCCTCGCCCATGGCCTGAGCGGTTTGCTCCAAGAGATGCTCCAGGAAGGAGGCGCTGAGATGAGGGGCCACCTGACGGATGAGAGAGAGTACCAGGTCTGGACGGGACAGGAAGTGGTAGGAGCCGGAGGGGGCAGGCAGGGAACATGGGGGGCTTGAGCGGTCTGCTATAAGAGATGCTCGAGGAAGGAGGCACTGAGGTGAGGGGCGACTTGACGAATTAGTGAAAGCACCAGGTCTGGTGGGGGAGGGGTAGAGAAAGACAAGGCAGCAGCATAAGGGTAGGAAGGCAGAAAGTAGCCCTGAACCTCCTCTCCCCTCGCCCATGGCCTGAGCTGTCTGCTCTAAGGGATGTTCGAGGAAGGAGGCAGTGGGGTGAGGGGCCACCTGACGGATGAGAGAGAGCACCAGGTCTGGTGGGGTGGGAGAGCGGGGGAACAGGGAGGAGCGCATGGGCGTAAATGGGAGAAACATGAGGGTGGATGGCAGAGAGGAGAAGCCCACACCACTCTCTCCCATGGCCTGGGCTGTCTGCTCCAAGAGATCCTCGAGGAAGGAGGCGCTGAGCTGCGGGGCCACCTGACGGATGAGCCAGAGCACCAGGTCTCGTGGGGTAGATGGGAAGACAGGGGGAGACAAGGGGGGAGACAAGGGGAGACAGGGGGGTGTCACAGCCACATGAGGAGTGCCCAGTAACCTGTTAGGCACCTCAAAAAGTGCCTCATACCTCGCGAGAATAAAAAGAGCTGCATGCGAATGAATACATAGAGCTGCATGCATACTGTTTGGCGGCGGGTGCCGCAGCGATGTGAGCAGGGCCAGTACCTGCACGTTTGCCTCATAACGGGCGGAACATTTATGAAGATGTCTGAGAAGGTTTGGAAAGGTTTGAGAAGGCTTGAAAAAGTTCAAGAACGGCGCATGCATACACACCGTTGGGCGGCGGGTGCCGGAGCGATGTGAGCAGGGCCAGCGCTGCTGTCGGGTCGTCCTCAAAGCGCCACGTCAGCGCCTCCAGCACGAGCGGTTGCTGACGTGGCTGCTGACCTAGCAGCTCCACGTACTCCTTGAAGCAGCTCTCTACCACGTCAGCATCCCTCCTCCTCCCCCTCGTGCCATCACCACCATCATTATCACCACCACTATCACCACCAACTTCCTCCCCTTCTCCCTCTCCCTTTCTCCTTCCCACTGCCTCTGCCCCCTCTTCCCCCTCCCACTCCCTTCTCACACCACCGCCTTTAAGCATCTCCCTTAAGAACACAAGACCCTCTCTGTGCAACCCCTTGAAAAACAGAAAGCGAATCACGTCGCGCCACCTGTCCTCCTCACAAAGCGCAGCTTCCACAGTGCTGACGTGGCAGAAATTGCCCGCCGCCCACAACGCATGCAGGGCTGCCCGGAGCGGCTGCATCGGGTCCGCTGAGTCAGCAACACCTGTCGCTGACGTGGAGAGAGCTGCAATAAAGCGATCAACCGCTGCAGGGGAGAACTCGGAAGGTGCTGAATGCGAGGCTACTGCAGCAGACCCAGCAGCAGAAGCGGCAGCACGAGCAGCAGCTGTAGACCCAGTAGAAGCAACAGAAGCGGCAGTAGCGGCAGCAGTGACAGCAGCAGCAGCGCGAGACACAGAAGCAGCATCCAGAGGCCCCTCAGAAATCCCCCCACCCCCACCACCACTCGTTCCCTGCCTGCTGCTGCTGCTGAAGCTGCTCATACTGCTGTCTATGGTGCTGGTGGTGATAGCGTCACTGCTCTTGATATTACTGCCAAGAGAGCCGTGAGTGCTGTAGCTGCTGGTACTGACAGCAGATGGAGGGGGGCTGGGGCGTTGACCGAAGGTGAGGGGGCCGGAGGAGGAGAAGAGCGAGTGGTTGAAGTCAAAGGCAGTCTCGGGCGAATCAGGAGGTGATTCAGCGAGAATAGCTCTCTCTTGTACCTCCGCTGCTGCTGCCGCGGCTGCTTCTGCTGTTTGTGCTTCAGTTGCTGCTGCTGATGCTTCGGCTGTGGAAGTTGGAGCAGGTTGTGTGGAGGATGCGGGGAGTGGTGGTGGGATTGGGTTGAGGGACTGTAGGGCGAGAGAGAGGTAAGTGTCGATCACTACTGCTGTTGCTTCGGCTGCTGACATGCTCTGCTGCTCCTCTCCCTCGTTCTCCTCTCCTTCCTTTCCTAGAGAATCCGCTATTGCAGTGGCAGAAGCAGCAGCAGCCACTGGTGGTGCTGCAGCTGATAATGATGATGCTCCTGCTCCTGCTGTTGCTGCAGCTGCTACAGCCGCTGCTCGTTTCTCTGCCAGGAAACCCACTAGAGACAGCAACGCCAGCTTGCGCTGCCGCCCGGTTAGATCCGATTGCGATTGCGATTGCGATTGCACTCCCAGTGGTGTTGCAGCAGGTGATGGGATGGAGGAAGGGGAGAGAGGGTAGGAGGGGGAGGAGGGGGACGAGGAGGGAAAGGAGGGAGGGTAGGGGGAGGAGGAGGCAGCGAGGGAGAGGATGGAGGAGGGGAGGGAGGGGAGGAAGGGGAAGAGGGAGAGGGCTGGGAGGAGGGGGGGCGAGGAGCAGAGAGCGAGTTGTTGTATGGCGCGATCGAATTCACCCGATGAGAAGAGATGGTGGGCTAGGCTGGGAGGGGGAGAGAGGACAGACATGGGAGAGGATGTTATCATGATTTATTTGTTTCTTGAAAAGAAGGGGGAGCAGATGGCGAGGAGCAGAGGGCGAGTTGTTGCATGGTGTGATCGAATTCACCCGATGAGAAGAGATGGTGGGTGAGGCTGGTGGGAGGGGGAGAGGGGCAGGAAAGGGAGAGGTGGGACGGAGATAGGATAACTACACGATAAGGAATTAAAAAAAGGAGGGGAGGCGAGGAGCAGAGGGCGAGTTGTTGCATGGCGCGATCGAATTCACCCGATGAGAAGAGATGGTGGGCTAGGCTGGGAGGGGAAGAGAGGGAACGGACGGACAGGAAAGAGGATGTTATCATGACAAATACATTCAAGAAAAAGGGGGGAGCAGCAATGGGGGAGCAGAGAGCGAGTTGCTGCATGGCCCGTCGAATTCACCCAGCGTGAAGAGACGGTGGGCGAGACTTTTGAGTCGGCTCAAAAGGCGAGCTGATTCATGGCGCGGTCGAATTCACCCAATGAGTTGAGATGCTGCAAATAGAGAAGGTGAGAGGATGGTATGACGCGCAGCAACAGGGGAGTGGCATCATAATCAGCCACGGATGTGAAGCAATATGATGCAGTGCAAAGAGCTCTGAATTTTTAACTCACCGTAGTCGAACCAGGTCCATGCGCCTCCTTGGCTGGCCACTCCCCTCCTCGACCCCCTCTTGCGCCCCTTCCTCCTCCCCCTCCCCATCCTCCAGCCCCTCACAGAGAGAGAGCGCCTCTTCAAACAGCCCTTCACTCACAAGCTGATCAATCTGCATCGCAGTGAGCAGGCAGGGCAAGGAGAGAACGGATGAGTGCTCAGAGAAAAGTGAAGGGCTTCAGACCCTCCTCATCATCCAGCCCCTCACATCACACAGAGAGAGAGAGCGCCTCTTCAAACAGCCCCTCGCTCACGAGCTGGTCGATCTGCATCACGGTGAGCAGGCAGGGCAAACACGGATGGTACAATTCATTGTGAGTGTTTAGGATATTAGATGGGTTACGGATTTGAAGCCTCTTTTGCATCACTGGTTTTGGAGCTGTGAAACAAACCCTCCAAACGACACCATACCACACCACACCGCACCACACCACACCACACCACACCGCACATCACACCGCACCGCACCGCACCTCTGAGCAGCACGCACCTGGGCGGCAAGGGAGACAGGAGCAACGATGAACACACTCTCCTCTGCCACAGCAAACACACCCCGGGCTGCCCTGCTGCTGCTGTTGCCCTTGACAAAGACTCTTCTTGTACCACTGGAACCACACAGCACAAAACACCACCACACCACACCACACTGCATCACACAGCACCACGCACCTGGGCAGCAAGGGAGACAGGAGCGACGATGTACACACTCTCCTCCGCCACTGCAAACACACCCCGGGGTGACCGCCCTGCTGCCCTGCTGCTGCTGCTGTCAACGGCGCCAGTACTGGTGGGGAGAGTGGGAGGAGTCCAGAGCGCTGATTGCTCCCGCAGGGGGATGGTTTGCACCAAGGCATGGCCCGGTAGCAGGGAGCGCACCTGGAGAGGCAGGGTTCAGGGCGAGAGGGTCGGAGATACAGGAGAGTCAAGGGAGGTGGGAGGGGTGCAGAGCGCTGCATGCTCCGCTCCTGTAGGGGAATGCTTTGCACCAAGGCATGGCCTGGGAGCAAGGAACGCACCTGCGGGTCAGGGGAAGGGAACGTAACAGAGAAAAAGGAGAACGTAACGGAAAAAATGAGAGTGGAGGGAAACGAGTTCCTCAATACATGTGCATGCTTGTACATCTGCTGCCCTCAACACTCTCACCACTCTGACCAAACAACAGCTCTTGACCAGCACAAGCAGCGACTATTGACAATTGCACCTCAATGCCTTTGGGCAGCTTGGCGAGGGCATACCGGGCACAGCAATGATGTGGGGGATGAAGCATGAGTGGGCATGGGCATGGGCATGGGCATGGGCATGAGAGTGCAATGTGAATGAAGTGTGAGTGTGGTGGCACAGCATACCTCAATGTAGTTGGGGAGTTCGGCAAGGGTGTAGGGCGGCATGACAGCGATGTGGGAGGGCGGTGGAGCAGACAAGGACATGACAGCGAGTCGTGGGAGTGAGGTAGAGTCATGAGGGGCGCACCTCAATGTAGTAGGGGAGCTTGGCGAGGGTGTAGGGCGGCATGGCATCCACGTGGGAGATGAAGTGAAGCATGCATGGGCATGGACATGGGCATGACAGTGCAGTGTGAATGAGGTGCGAAGGCAGGCAAGGCACACCTTACTCTGAGGCGCCTCAAAAGTCATACCTCAATGTAGTTGGGCAGCTTGGCGAGGGCGTAGGGCGGCATGACAGCCACGTGGGAGGGTGGGCGCGACCAGTTGATGCCGTGGGAGCGAAGGGGGCGACCAGCGGCGTCAAGGAAGAGCCCTATGCTGTCCTGATGGCGGGGAGAGGGCGTGGAGACAAAGGGGGACGCGGAGCGAAGGTAATCCAGAGGTAAGGAGAAGAGCAAGGGAAGGAAAGGATGAGACCAGTCGATGCCATAGGAGCGAAGGGGACGACCAGATGCAAGCACACATGCACCAGCCTTCCTCCCTCCCCCACTTCTAAGACCTCACCTTGCCCACTAGCATCTCCCACAGGACAGCTTCACAAAACTGGGAGGCGCCACCTGACCGTGCAGAAACATGCCGTGCCACGATCCCCCGCTGCCAGCGTTAGGTAGAGGGAAGGTCAAGTGACATACAGCATAAAGCTCGACCGAACCAACAAGGAATGTTGGGTTGGAAGATTAAAGAGGGTGCTGTAAAGGAGGGGCGGGAAGAAGGAGTAAGGTGTTGAGGTGGCGGGATGGTGGAAGGACATGTGCAAGCAACACGGGTCAAACAAATGGCGCTCACCGATGCGGCGAGGAAGTGGCACATGCTGGCGATCAGATCTGACGCCATGAGGTACAAGACGAAGTTGAGGAGAAGGTTGGCCCACGCGGTGTGAGACACGTCTGTCATTCTAAGGGCGTGTCCAGCGCGTACACCTTGGGGTTTTGACATATATTTAAAGTAATTGGGATCACGCACAGAAATAGTACCGCGAGGTGTAGCCTTTAGGTTTCGCGTCCAAAAAGGCGCGGGAAGACACAATCGCCTCTCAGCACAAGTCGCGCGACAGTGGCGACAGCAATACTTTGTAACTTAGAATTTTGCGAGCCTGCTCAGATTCTTGCGAAAATTATCCTTGAATTCGCTGAACCGGTATTGCTGCAACTCGGACACGTGCAAGTCCGATTTTGGGGTTTGTTACGTGCTTTTCGCGTCATGTTAACGATTCGACGCACGTGTGGCCCGTGACGGTTGTTACGTAACGTAGGTGTCTGTGTCCAGAAAACTTGTAAAAACGTGGTTACAACTCGAAAAAGTGGTAACTGTACCGCCAGATGAGCTATAAACGTACGTGCTGGACACGCCCTAATATCATTCATGATATCCAAGCTGGCATCGAAGCTGGCTAGACTATGCAATACGAATTTCTTCCTGCTAGAGGAGCCGCTAAAATTCATCGCTCAACAGTGAATGGGCATGTGCCGTCTTCTAGTGTCTCGCTTTTCGTGTCATATGAATGCTTCTCCTCACTATCTATTTTCTAGTGAGCCGAAACCTGCTCGTGTTTCACACCGCGTGGGCCAACCTTCTCCTCAACTTCGTCTTGTACCTCATGGCGTCTGATGTATCGCCAGCATGTGCCACTTCCTCGCCGCCTCGGTGAACGCCATTTGTTTGACCGTGTTGCTTGCACATGTCTTTCCACCATCCCGCTATCTCAACACCACACTCCTTCTCCCCCCCCCCACTCGCTCCTTTACAACACCCTCTTTAATCTTCTGACCCAACATTCCTTTTTGGTTCGGTCGATTTCTGAACACCTCCTTCCCACCCTCCCTCCCAGTTCATACAGCCTCACCTTGCCGACTAACATCTCCCCACGGCAGCTTCACCACACTGGGAGGCGCCACCTGGCCACACAGCAACATGTCCTGCCACGAGCCGCCGCTGCTACCGCTACCACCGGTGCCAGTGCTACCGCGTGTGTGCGAACGAGCCATCCCCATCCCCCACTCACCTTTCCCACCAGCATCTCCCCTCGTGGCAGCTTCACCACGCTGGGAGGCGCCACCTGCCCGCACGGCAGCATGTCCCGCCACGAGCCACCGCTGCCAGCGGTGCCGGGCGGTGGAATGTGGTGCAGAAGGTACTTGGTGGGCGTGGCGGCGCAGAGGGTGTTGGGCGAGGGGAGCGCGAGCAGGCGAGGGGCGTCTGGGCAGGTGAACTCGCGCTCCTCCTTGAAGCTTGAGCGGCCTGGAGGGGAGGACGGATAAGAAGGGAAGAGAGGAAGAGGAGTAAGAGGAAGGGATGGGGAGGGCGAGCAGACGAGGCGCGTCTGGATAGGTGAACTCCCTCTCCTCCGTGAAGCTTGAACGGGTTTGAAGGTTGAACGGGGTGGGGGAGGAGGAAGAGGAGATAGGCTGAAGACTGCCTGTGAGACCGTCTGGGCAGGTGAGCTTGCGGCCTATATGAAATCCGCGAGTCATGAAGTGATTTTTGAGGCGCCTCAAAAATCGCCACAAGCTTCCGCCCCTCCTTGAAGGCTGAACGGGCTGGGAGGAGGAAGAGGAGATGGGATAGGCTGAAGACCGCCTGTGAGGCCGTCTGGGCAGGTGAGCGAGGAGGGTGCGGAGCCTCATGGGCACGCCCCTCCTTGAGGGCTGAACGGGCTGGGAGGAGAGAGGACGGATGGGAAGGTAGAGAGGAGGAGGAAGAGGAGAGGAGGTGAAGTCGCGCCCTTCCTTGCAAGGTGCCCCTGGGGGAGAGAGAGAGAGGAAGGGTTGAGTGGCGTGGGGGTGGGCGGTGTGGGAGAGGAGCAAGGAGGGGACGGAGTGAAAACGGCCTGTGAGGGGCGTCCGGGCGGGTGAGATCACTCTCCTCCTTGAAGGCTGCACGGCCGGGAGATGAGGGAGGGCGGATAAGAAGGGAAGGGAGGGAGAATGAGGCGGAAGCAGAGGGAGGGCTTGATTTGAATGGCTTGTGAGGGGCGTCCGGGCAGGTGAGCCCTCTCTCCTCCTTGAAGGCTGCACGGCCTGGTGGAGAACGGATAGGGTGGAAGGAGGCATGAGGGCAAGGGGGGGCGGGAAGGGAGATGAGAGATGAGAGGTGGGGGGAGAGGAGATAGACAGTACCACTGGCCACCGCATTTAACCATTTTTTTGACCCTGCATCAACCAGCCGTCGAACCGCAGCACGAGCACTCTTCATTTGATCGCCACGCATAGCACGCTGAGCCGATCTCTCCCCCTGAAGTACCATTGCTCACCGCACTGAACCATTCACAACCCACACCAACCCACCGTCAAACCGCAGCACGAGCACTCTCCGCTTGATCGCCACGCACAGCACGCCGCCCTCCACCTTCCCCTACAAGCATTGAGTTCACCCCTAACTTACCATTGCTCACCGCATTAAACCATTCACAACCAACAAGGACTCACCGTCGAACCGCAGCACGAGCACTCTCCGCTTGATGGCCACGCACAGCATGCCGCCCTCCGCGTCCCACGCCAGTGACGTGGCGCCAGCTGTGCGCGGGAGACACGTCAGCGGCTCCAAGGACGGCAGCGCCGCCAGCCTCACGCAGTCCGCCAGCGCAATCAGCACGCCCGCGTGAGCAGCAGCAGCAGCAGCAGTAGCTGTCGGCGGCGCGATCAGCACGCCCGCCGCCCCGGAAGCGCCGGACGCGGCGGAAGCGGCGGAAACGGCGGAAGCGGCGGGGGCGGCGGAACTATCAGGCGCAGCTGCTGTCGGCAGCGCGATCTCGAGTCGCAGAATGGCGGACGGCGCGAAACCGTCCTTCTTCGCGAACAGAACATAGCCGCCGCCGCCGCCGGCCGCGACACGCGGCGCGGAAGGCGCTGATTGGTCCGCTGCTGCGGATGCTGCCGCTCCTGCCGGGCGGTACTCTAAGAGCGCGCCGTCGCTGCAGCCAATGAGAATGGAGGAGCGCCATTGCGTGCAGCAGAGAATGCGACTCGAACTCGCCGTCGCCGTCGCAGCCGCGGGCCCGAGGAAGCGGCTGAGAGCGGTGCTGCTAGGTGGACTGGGAAAAGAGCGAGAGCTGCCAGAGGTGTCCGTTAGGGTTACGGCGCGAACCAGCTGAAACGCCGCGTGGCCCATGGCTCTCGCGCTCTCTCGCGCTCTCTCGCGCTCTCTCGCTTTCTCTCGCGTTCTCTCGTGCTCTTTCTCCCTACTCTTGAGCTCTCTAGCGCGCGCTCTCTCTATCGTTCCTTCACTCGATCTCCTGCCTCCGCTTGCTCTGCTACAGTACCACGGCTTCAACACACCCTCGTTACAGTCACCTCGACAGTAGCCATAGGATGCAGCAACCTGGCTGGCCACTCGCGCCTTATCACCACACAAACACCCTTTGGCCGGGCCAGGGGTCGCGTTCATTCCCGTGAATCTGTTACCCAAAATATCCCGCAAACCGACATAGGTCAACTTCCGCTCGAAACCAGCTGTTTTGATTGCGAAGTAGCTACACCCTCACCCTCGTTTAAACTCGGTGTGAATTTTGCGATGTTCTTTGCGATGCTATTTTGGCGAAGTGTTACTCGTTACTCACACCGGTGCTCTGCAAAAATATGGGATTCGTACTACAAATTTTCTGAAAACGAACGCGCCCTGACCTGCCCTTACGTTCATTAGGGATTCGCGAGTCGAACCTTCCTTCCACCATCTCGACACTCGTGTAGTCGCACTCCGCTTCTTCCGCTACGCCCTCTCCGAACATATCTCATGTTCCTTCACAATAGTAGGCCGCGCTTCTGGAATTCGTAACATCCTGAGATTCTGGCCGTGATTTTCGACGTATTCCGCGTCATCGCAGTCTCCCCTATCCGCATCATCGCACTATCCCGTATCCGCATCATCGCGCTATCCTCCTTTCCGCAGTCACAGCATGGTATGAATCGCCATGCCAGGTCGATCATGGCCTCCCAGCCGTCGTGTTTCTGCTTTTGAAATTCCGCAGAAGCTTGTTAAAAGAGAATTCTCAAAAGCGATTGCGAGTTATTTTTGAGATTTCTAAAAAATCCTTTAGAATTCTCAAAAGCGACTGCGAGTTATTTTTGAGATTTCTAAAAAATTCTCAAGAATTCTCAAAAGCGACTGCGTCGCTGCATGGCACGAATCGCCGGTCTTGGTTCCACCTCCCTCCTTCCACCTCCCTCCTTCCACCTCCCTCCTTCCACCTCCCTCCTTCCACCTCCCTCCTTCCACCTCCCTCCTTCCACCTCCCTCCTTCCACCTCCCTCCTTCCACCTCCTTCCTTCCACCTCCCTCCTTCCACCTCCCTCCTTCCACCTCCCTCCTTCCACCTCCCTCCTCTCCACCTCCCTCCACCTCCCCTACCCCCTCCTTCTCCCCCTCCCGTCCCCCATCTCCCTCTCAGAATTCCTCAGGGAACGCGGCAGCAGCGTCTGATCAGCAGTCACAGGGCACCACGGGGGGGACGCACGCAGAAGCAGCAGCATCACCTCTTGATTCAACTAGAAAGTCCCCTCCTTCTCTTCCCTCTGTGCCCCTCTCGCTCCTAGGAATCCTCAGGGAACGCGGCAGCAGCGTCTGATCCAGAGTCGCAGGGCACCACAGGGGGGACGCCTTTTGAGGCGCCTCAAAAGTCCCCTTTCTTCCCCTTCCGCCCCCCCCCTCTCTCTCTTCCAGGATTCCTTGAACGCAGCAGCTGCCTCTGATCCACTGTCACAGGACACCACAGGGGAGAAGCTTTTGACGCACCTCAAAAGTCCCCCATTCTCCTCTTTCCGTACTCCCCCCCTCTCCCAGGATTCCTCGAACGCGGCAGCAGCGTCTGATCCACAGTCACAGGGCACCGCAGAGGGGACGCCTTTTGACACACCTCCATAATCCCCTAATAACCCCCTTTCGTACTCCCTCCCTCTCCCAGGATTCCTCGAACGCGGCAGCAGCGTCTGATCCGCAGTCACAGGGCACCACGGGGGGCACGCAGGCAGAAGCAGCAGCGCCACACAACGTTGCTGACCTCACCGCCTTTGTCAGTTGCCATGCCATGCCGTACTCTGCCATGCCATGCCATGCCATGCCATGCCGTACTGTACCATGCCATACTATACTATGCAAGGCCATGCCATATTATGCCATACTATGCCATTGCATGCCATGCTTGGATCTGCATTTTGGACATCTGTGCATATAGGAGAATATCCATGTCGTCACCTTCATGCTGGTTTCTATACACCAACGCCTGTCCGCCTGCACGTCGTGCGTGTGATGCTCCACGGATTGAATTGGCTGGTATGTGATGTGATTCGCAAAGATGTGGTGTGCTCGACGGATGGATGATACTCGAGCTCTAACTCGAGTAGAGAAGAACCATGCGCGTGATGCTGTGCCTGTGCACCTTTGATGCTGTTCGCGCGTGCTGCTATGTGTGAGTGCGTATGCAATGTGATTCCCTTGTGAAAATTCTCGAAAGCATCCGCGCGTGATGCTATGTGTGCGTACAGTGTGTTTTCCATGCACTCACTGTCTCTTACCCCTCCGTGTGTTGCCTCTCTCTCGTCATCTCTGTTTGTTGTCTCTCTCTCTCTCTTGTCGTCTCTGTGTGTTGCTCCTCTGTGAGTCCCACCTTGCAGGTACAAACGCTTCTTCAGCAAATGGTGAGGCTCAATGCCCCTTGAACCACTCAAATCATCAACTTGCTTTCCCTATTTCTAAGTCGACTCAACAAACGCTCTTTCACCAAATGGATAGGCTCCATGCCCCACAATACCAGTCAGATCATCTTGCGTTCTCTAATACATTCTCGCCTCTCGTCCATCTTCTCTGCTCCCTGTTCCGCATATCCATTCCGTGCCACCAAGTTTCCTCCACTTGCACTCAGTAAAGCCCTAATGCCCTCGACCTGTATCATTTCTCTTTAATCTGTGTCTTTCCATTTCGCCGCGCCCTCCACCTCCTCTCTGTTCCTGTGCCATGCAGCAAGCTTGCTCCTGTGACGATCATATCAAGGAATGTCCGCTTTGCCGCCCCTTTGAGTCGGCTCAAAAGCCTCCACCCGCCCTCTGTTCCTGTGTTATGTGTTCTCTGTCCCCCCACCTCCCGCCCTCTGTTCCTGTGTTATATGTTCTCTGTCCCCCCACCTCCCGCCCTCTGTTCCTGTGTTATGTGTTCTCTGTCCCCCCACCTCCCGCCCTCTGTTCCTGTGTTATGTGTTCTCTGTCCCCCCACCTCCCGCCCTCTGTTCCTGTGTTATGTGTTCTCTGTCCCCCCACCTCCCGCCCTCTGTTCCTGTGTTATGTGTTCTCTGTCCCCCCACCTCCCGCCCTCTGTTCCTGTGTTATGTGTTCTCTGTCCCCCCACCTCCCGCCCTCTGTTCCTGTGTTATGTGTTCTCTGTCCCCCCACCTCCCGCCCTCTGTTCCTGTGTTATGTGTTCTCTGTCCCCCCACCTCCCGCCCTCTGTTCCTGTGTTATGTGTTCTCTGTCCCCCCACCTCCCGCCCTCTGTTCCTGTGTTATGTGTTCTCTGTCCCCCCACCTCCCGCCCTCTGTTCCTGTGTTATGTGTTCTCTGTCCCCCCACCTCCCGCCCTCTGTTCCTGTGTTATGTGTTCTCTGTCCCCCCACCTCCCGCCCTCTGTTCCTGTGTTATGTGTTCTCTGTCCCCCCACCTCCCGCCCTCTGTTCCTGTGTTATGTGTTCTCTGTCCCCCCACCTCCCGCCCTCTGTTCCTGTGTTATGTGTTCTCTGTCCCCCCACCTCCCGCCCTCTGTTCCTGTGTTATGTGTTCTCTGTCCCCCCACCTCCCGCCCTCTGTTCCTGTGTTATGTGTTCTCTGTCCCCCCACCTCCCGCCCTCTGTTCCTGTGTTATGTGTTCTCTGTCCCCCCACCTCCCGCCCTCTGTTCCTGTGTTATGTGTTCTCTGTCCCCCCACCTCCCGCCCTCTGTTCCTGTGTTATGTGTTCTCTGTCCCCCCACCTCCCGCCCTCTGTTCCTGTGTTATGTGTTCTCTGTCCCCCCACCTCCCGCCCTCTGTTCCTGTGTTATGTGTTCTCTGTCCCCCCACCTCCCGCCCTCTGTTCCTGTGTTATGTGTTCTCTGTCCCCCCACCTCCCGCCCTCTGTTCCTGTGTTATGTGTTCTCTGTCCCCCCACCTCCCGCCCTCTGTTCCTGTGTTATGTGTTCTCTGTCCCCCCACCTCCCGCCCTCTGTTCCTGTGTTATGTGTTCTCTGTCCCCCCACCTCCCGCCCTCTGTTCCTGTGTTATGTGTTCTCTGTCCCCCCACCTCCCGCCCTCTGTTCCTGTGTTATGTGTTCTCTGTCCCCCCACCTCCCGCCCTCTGTTCCTGTGTTATGTGTTCTCTGTCCCCCCACCTGTCTTCTTCAGGAAGCTCGCTTCCAGACCATGTCTGAGACGATAATCTCGAGGCACTTAGGCCACCCTCACTAGCTTTGCTGAATGTCTCGTCGACCTGTCTCCTTCCTTCCGTTTCCGTTTCTCACCATCCCCCCATGCAGCAAGCTCGCTTCCAGACCATGTCCGAGACAATTATCTCAAGAAATATCCGCTTTGCCGCCCTTCATTGCCCCTCTCCTCCTCCCTCTCCTTCACTCCACGTTCTACTTCCTCCCTATGCTTCTGCCCACCTCCCTCTCATGTCCTCCTTTCACATTAGATGCAACGCCATTCGCTTTTTGGTCTTTTACAATTGCTCATCATCCTTTTCTTCTTCGCCACTTCCCTGCCGTGCCTGTTGACCATCCTTAACTCATTCACTCCTCTCTCCCTCCGTCTCTTTTTCGTAACATCCCCCCTCTCTCTTTGCTGCTCTCCCTCTATCTGCACTGTATTGTGTTCGTCCTTTCTCCATTTCTGCCCTGCTTATCCTCCCCTCTCTCCATCCTGTTTATCCGCTACCTCCTCCCGATATTCTCCTCTTGCCTCCTTCCTCTTGCCCCCTCCTCTCTCTTCATCCTACCTCCACCCATTATCCTCCCCTTGCCCCGCTCCTCTTCCCTGTCTCTCACTCGCCCTCTCAACCCCCTCTCTCTCCTCTTTCGGTTCTTCCAATCCATTTATCCTCAACCACTCGACGAGATGGGCACGCGCATTGACGAGCTAGAGCGGAACGTGAATGACCTTATAAAGGAGACAGGAAGCACAGACCCCTCTGCAGCAGCCGCAGCACCAGCCAAGTCAGAGCAACATGAGCTGTAAACTCAGCTGCCTGCCACTAGTCAGGAAGAAGGCCAAGCATGCTGCTGCTACTGCTGCTGAAGCAGGCTTCGAGCGGCACATGCGGTACATATGGTTGAACCGAGCTTGCAGCTTTCTACCCGTCTTCTTAGTTTGAGAGACACACACAGTACATATGGTTGTCTGTTACAGGCTGTGCTCTTTTGGTCCTCCTGTGAGAGGGGTGTCTTGTGAGGAGGCGATACAAAACAGAAGCTCTCTGCTGGACGCCAGTTGGGAGGGAGTTGCGTTGTTGAGAGAGGAGAGCGGTAGCAACATCCTGCGCAGGTGAGCGAACAGAAAGCTATGTGCCTGCAGTGTGCGGCTGGATGATCAGCAGGCTCAGGAGGGAACTTTTGAGTCGACTCAAAAGTCAGCAGGCTCAGGAGGGAACCAGTAACGTGGCTCGCCCTGAGTGTGTTGCATCCGTTGGGTGGGGGGCTGTGGGCTGCTAGGGGTTGCTTGGGTGTTTATACACGGTACCATTATTCGATAAGCAGATACAGTCAGAATTGAATGAATGAAAACAATCCAATGCCTAGCTCTATACCAGAGTCAGTCGAAGATTCCAGCCATCACGGTCTTGAACTCGTTGACTTTTGAGTCCACTCATCGTAAGTCAATCGAAGATTCCAGCCATCACGGCCTTGAACTAGTTGACTTTTGAGTCCACTCATCGTAAGTCAACAGAGTCAGTCGAAAATTCCAGCCATCAAGGTCTTGAGCTCGTTGACTTTTGAGTCCACTCATCGTAAGTCAACAGAGTCAATCGAAGATTCCAGCCATCATGGCCTTGAACTCGCTGTAATCCACACATCCATCCCCGTTAGTGTCCACCCTCTTTATCATCCGTTTGCAGTCCTCCATGGTCATATCATCCCCGTTCAAAACACCTATCACGAACTGTAGCTCCTCCGCGGTTATAACCCCGTTGCTGTCTCGGTCAAAAACCTCAAACGCGCGGGCCAAATCGCCTTCCCTCACGTCCTCTTCTGAGTCACTTCCACCGTCCGATTCTGATTCCTCCTCTTCATCGGACGATGGAACCGAGACGAAGTATTCGCCCAAAAGGGACGGCCCTGCGCGCGCCGAGAGCAAAAACTCCTCAAAATCGATCATTCCGTCGCCGTCCACGTCAGCCTGGCGAATCACCTCCTCCGCGAAGCCAATCAAATCACCGCCTGCCCCCTCAAGCAAATCACCACTACCGCACAGTCCAGGGTTCGACCCAGCAGCTGCTTTACATGCCAGGTTGTCCAGCCGGGACAGGAGCGTGGCGAGCTCGTGGACGGAGATTTTTCCGTCCCTGTTGAGGTCGATGGCCTCGAAAGTGCGAGTGGCCTCGCGACGAAACGACGAGGACGCGATCTGGCGGATATTATGGCTCGAGGGGGACATTTTCGACGCTGACGCAACGTTGTCGTGCTGCTGGAAGGCCATGCACGGCGGGGAGGCGGCAAGCCTATCTAGAAGGGTCCGAAAGGTGTGACGATGGGAGTTGGCTGATTTGCAGGGAGCGGGATGCTAAGAAGAGGATGCGAATGATTAAGTATTGATAACTCTCGGGAGTATGAGACTTGCGCTGCTAATTTCGGGGTAGGGCAGAGCCGACTTTCCTATTGCAGCTGGAGAACTACTAGTGAGGAAATATCTACCGCTTTTCTAGTAGAAGTGACCAATTGTCAATTTGAAGGCTGAATATCGAAAATGCTACTTTGCCCCGCTTTGTATGTGTGGGTGGATGCAGGGCTCAGCTGGTAGGTGGGGAGACGAGACTTCTCGGGTTACTCCTTTCGAGCACGTTCGCTTCTGCGCCTTTCATCCAGTCATTCTCCCCGTTCCACTCTTGCGAACTATCGGACTTCGCCTCGCGAAGCGAGCCTGTCATTGCGTGGCGGGCATGCTGCATTTGGAGGTGCTGCGAAGCTGGCGAGGCAGCCTTCCCAGCGAATTGGGCGGAAGCGCACCAGAGAGGAGAGGAAACATGAAATGGGGCGTGGGTAACGGGATGGGATGCGACGCGATGTCATGAAAGTCTTGCCTGTCGTGACAGTCAAGTTGGCCCCACGACAGCTTCACAACGGAAGTCGTTGTGATTTCGTTTTGTAATGAATTAGAATTCATTACTGTAGAGGCTGTTCCTAGCGAGGACAGCCCGAACTGTTCGCGTCAGTTTGGGCTCGGCCTACACTTTCGCACCGAACCAGCCCCGAGTCGCCCCGCACCAATTGCGACATTCCCGAGCCACGCACATCGAGGTCCTCGCCTAGCACGGTTTCGACCCTATAAATGCTCGCTTCATTATCATTCTCGTCATTCTGTAATTCTCATCCTTTTTATAAAGTCTTCCACGCGCTCTTCTAGTAAAACTCATAACACTTGGTATCAGAGCCTAAGTTCCTAGGTTCCCCGTTTTTTAGAGTGTATTACCCCTCGGGGGGGGGAGGGGGGGACAGGGAAGGATGCCGTGGTGACAGGAGTAGCGCAGTAGCCGGCCAGGAGAACGGGTAGTTGCTCCTAGCGGCCATGAATTTCTCTGGCGCTTCTGCGGCACCGACGGATCCTTGCCCTCGACGGTCAAGATCGACCGTGGCCTCCCTCCCCCCGGGTGGCAAACAGCTTCTGCTGTCGTCGCAATTAATGCATGCGTAAGTTGCATGCGTTTTCGTCAACTTCGGAGTAATTTTGTGTGGCAGATGACGTCGCCATGATTGAAGTCACTGCACGTCCGAAGTTGTCGGGAGCACACGTGGTGCGAGTTGACATCTGCATGTGGTCGTCAACTGCGCACGAAGATTTCGGAGTTAATGCGTACGGCAAGTGGCGTCGGGCGACTTCGTCACGTTGCGCACGAGATTTTCGGAGGACTTCGGCACGTGGCGATCGTGGTCACTGTGCGCGAAGATTTCGGGTAGCAGCACGTGGAAAACGACTGCTGTGCGAGCAGCCAGGCGCATGGTGATTTGCGTCGGAAAATGCGACGGCGCGGAGTGATGGCGTGACGATTGCCCGAAGAAAGCGGGGGTCTACCGTCGTTCAGCCCGGGTGTGGCCGGTGTGGCTACAGGAGGGTGCGTCACCGGCGTTTTTGGCAGGAGCGGCACAGTGTGGGACGGAAGTCATTTTCAAACCACCGAAAAGTGCGGAAAAGGCCGCCTACGACTCGACTGTTTTCGTTAGGGTCACTTCTGCGCCTGCAACAACGTCGGCCGAAAATTTCGGAGCAACAGCAGCAGCCGACACTGTACTTCAGGCGGCACAGGTTCCCCCTGATCAAGGGAAGTTGTGCTGCAGACGGGGCAGTACACCGACGGGACAACGTTTTGGCGCAGAGTCTAGACACGCGAATTTCGCCTGGTCTACCGGCTACAATAAACGGAGTTGCGACAAATACGGGTCTGGCGAGAGAAACGGGCTCCGAGCTACAAGAGGGGGGAAAACGACCTACTGCGACGACTTTTTGCTGAGGCCGAGTTTTGCGGCTAAGCGGCGGTAGCAGAAGGAGCTCCCTACCGGCCAAAGTCCACCGACGTTTCGCATACCCCACGCCCAGAAGGACTCGAAGGCAATTGTAAGACCAAAGAGCCACTGGATCCAAAGGTGGGGCCCTGTGTTTAGCCCTGTGCTGGCAAAAAAAGCGCAGGTATGTGCCAGCTCGACAGCTGGGCGTATAGGAAAATTTTCAAGGAAGCGAGACTGTTCGACCCCGACAAAACCGGACCATCGGCAGCAGTTACCCCGCCGAAAAAATCGGAGCTGAAGAAATTGGTGCAGCTGTCGGGGTTTCTCCAACTTCAACGGTCTACCCGACGACAGTGTAGCGGCGAAGACGGGGTATCCGAAGCTGTGGAATTTTAAGAAGCGATAAGACGCGGTGGGCAAACGAAGCGGCCGGCCCGACGGTTTGATCCGATAAACCTGATCCGGTTACGATAGCATTCGCGCCTTCACCGATGTCAGAAAAATCGCGAGCAATACGGAGTTATACCTCATCCGACAAAAGCGGACGCTGGGTGAACGGCGGCAAGCGAAATTGTCGGGGGGTGAAGACAAAAAAAATGGAGGGAAAGTCGTGGGTGCTCCAGCAGATCTCCTGAGTGAAAGGTTGAGCTCGTACACCAATCCACCGCGAATTTCGGAGTCTATTCGGTAGACCCCCGAAAGGGTTTGATATCGTTACATGGAGGCGCGGCGAGCGGTGTATCGCCAAGGATACCTGGGATTCGCTAAGTAATTTCGACGGGTGCGAAGACGGGTGAACGTCGGAGTACCAGGGTTAACGGCGGAAACGTCGGGGTTACGCGGCGGAAAATACTTCGGGACTGCTTCAACAACCATGATTTTCGGGGTTTCTTTCCTACGGTGGGAGACGGGTGAACGTCTGCTCGCCAGCTGTTTTCTGCGTTTTACGGTGTACTTCAAGGGGACAACCTCCAAGCGACCAGGATTTTACTGGGTGTGTTACACGGGAGAGAATTTTACAACAGGTGGGGGGGAAAAGGCGACAACTGTTTTCACCCCTGCCCGGAGTTTTTTCGGCGCGTCACGACAACACCGACATTGCAGCTGACGTCATCGGCAGTTCGAGTTCGACTTGGAAAAAATATTTGCGAGATCAGGGGGAAAAGCAGCAGCTGTTTTCGCCTCTGCCCGGGTGTTTTTCGGCGCAACGCGACAAGTTCCTCGGCGAGTCTGGACAAGACTGCCGGGGGCACCGACAGCTGGAGCAGCTACAGCGAGGATTTCGCAACAGCAACGCGACAACAAACAGCAGCAATTCCGGATTGCAGCAGCTGACAGCTGGAGATTTGGCAGCAGTATATTGATTGCAGTCGCTGGAAATGCTGCAGCAGCAGTCGCGCCTACACGACAAGAAGAATGTTTTCGGAAGGAAAATATATTTTCCAAGGGTTTCGAGTCCCGGTGCTCAACGCCTTTACCCTCTAAAAGGGACTTCGCGGGTTATCCTGAAGAGTTCTAACAGGTCACGAACATGATTTTCGCCACCAGCTACTTTTCGCCAGTGCAGCTGCTAAATTTTCGAAGGGGTTCATAACACTTGGTATTTCGGATTACCCCCTGGCAGATGGGATTTTCTAGAGTTTCTGCCCGCGCAGCCGTCCCACAGTACGGTCTACCCTTTTCTTCAAGGGGGGGGAGGGAGAGTGATTCTCGCTCTGTGCTTGTCAGTTCTCTGACAGCTTCGTCTGACAATCCGGCACGACGGACGCTTGCGATGGCTTCATCGGCATCGACGACTCCCGATTCACTGACATCTGACAGCGTGTCAGAACTTTCGCCAGCATCGCCAGCGTCACCACCGCACGATTTACATCGACGACTTTCTTTCGCCGAAAGATTTTAACTCGTCATTCGCCTTCAACCGCCCGATCGACATCGGCAGTATCAACGGCTGACATTCCAACTCTGAGATTCGCCTGGTCAACGCGCTCAGCCACGCATCAACACGAAAGTCAACAACGCTTCCGCGCCGTCAGATTGGTTTTCGACCGAGATCTGCAGTTTTCACGCTACTGCCAGACTCGCTTACGTATAAGGCGCCTTCTTTAGAAGGTGGGAGAGTGTAATGAATTAGAATTCATTACTGTAGAGGCTGTTCCTAGCGAGGACAGCCCGAACTGTTCGCGTCAGTTTGGGCTCGGCCTACACTTTCTCACTGAACCAGCCCCGAGTCGCCCCGCACCAATTGCGACATTCCCGAGCCACGCACATCGAGGTCCTCGCCTAGCACGGTTTCGACCCTATAAATGCTCGCTTCATTATCATTCTCGTCATTCTGTAATTCTCATCCTTTTTATAAAGTCTTCCGCGCACTCTTCTAGTACAACTCATAACACGTTTGCTCACGATTCGCGAACTTGCAGATTCGTGACAGTTTTGTTCATGTTTGTATTTCATCTCCTTAGGAGAGGTACAAGGCACAAAGAATCAAATCACATTCCACACAACAAATTCAACATAATCCATGAGCCATATCCACAGACAGAACATGCATGTTTCACTATTCCAATCACCATAACGTGCTGTTTGATGAATTCACATATTATTTCAGGTTAATTAGCCAACGCATTTTTATATGGGTCCGGCTTTTTATTTTCTACAATGCTCATTAAAGGGTACATGCGACCATCTTTACATTTCTTTCAACAATAATGACTATTGAACACTTAATATTGTGGCATATTGCAGAGTCTTGTGGCTACGGTTGCTGTAACATGTGCTTGTATGCCACTGCATTGTCGTGCTCGTACTCCGTACTCTGCATCTCCATCATCCTACGGCAGAAAGTCCAGTCATAGAATCATAGGGAGTATTAATTTCGGGAGCTGGTGAAGCATGGCGCAGAACTAGGGGACGAGAACAGTGCGCACCAGAATCAACAACAGAATGAAGAAAACGTTTTCGGAACGAACTGAAACTCCTCCAATAAAAGGCACTGTGCATACAAGACAAGGAACTGAAATAGTTGGGCATGATTGACATGGAATTGAAGAGAAGCCGTACAGCCATACTAGTCACTTATTGACGATATATGACACAAGGTACACTGTATTTGCCTGCAAAGGGAGTCCTTGATCTCGGCCTCACCTGCTGACTGTGCGGTCCTTAGCGAATCCCAGCTCGTCGTCCACCGCCACATCAGCATCCTCGGATCTCGCTGACCTGGCAGCCGTCCTACGTGGCGCGTTCGCAATGGTGACCACGCGCTCGAAGAGCTCAAAGGGAGTGCCCTCTGCTGAGCAGACGAGGCGGGTTTTGTGCTCGTACATCACCTGGGGAGAGGGTGGACAAGGGAGGGGGTTGGGGTGGGGTAGATGGTTGGTAAGAAAATAATCAAGGCCTGAAGTCAGAGCAGAAACAGTTTGAAGGCTCAGCTCAGGGCGTGTCTTGGGCTCATGCATTGCTAGGAGAGACCGGGGTTGTGTGTGGGAGGGTGGGGGGTTGGGGAGGGGAGGGCTGAGATTGACTTTTGACGAGTCTCAAAAGCTTGACGGGAGTGCCTTCTGCTGAACAGGGGGATGGGAGAGGGCAAGGGGTTGGGAGGTAAGTAATAGGTATAAAGACAAGCCCATGACTAGAGCACAAATCAAGTCGGGTCTTGCCCTCGTCCCTTGAACAATTGGGGTACCAGGCAGGGATGAGGCCTCACCATATACAGACCTTGCGGCTAGGGTGAGGGCAGGAGAGCCCAGACTCTTCTGAAAGAATGAGAGGTCTTCAAGCTAATACCTCGTCCATTCACCTGCAAATCTGGTCTGGTGGGCCTAATGCTCAATTGTTGTGTGTAACAGGTACCTGGTATAAGGCGCTATGCTAACATCTATAAGTGTGATGATTGGTTTGCTACTATTCTGGCATCCATAAAAATTGGTACATGCCATCATGACAATTCCTGTTTCCGGTCTTCTCTCTACGATGGGATTGACATTATTGAGCATCAATCAATGGCACCTCATATTGTGCTCTGCTACATTCACATATCTTGAAGAATGAAGCTACGCATCCATGCACTCTCACACATAACGTGCAGAGATGAATGAGAACAGAGTGATACACATGAGCCGCGTATTAAAGGAGTTGTTTTGAGACGTTTCAAAACAGCTCTTTTATCAGGTGATACACATGAGCCGGCACTAGTAACACGCACTCACATCAATCAGAGTGACGAATCGATACGCAGCCCCTCTGTTAGACGGCCCAAATATAGGAATGCCCTCCATGGCTATAGTGTGAAAGCTCTCTGAAGAAAAAAAGAACAAAAGGCTGATACTAAGGAGCGTGTGCTAGTAGCGCTCACTCGCATCAATTAGAGTGACGAATCGATACGCCGCCCCTCTGTTAGACGCCCCAAATATGGGAATCCCCTCCATGGCTATAGTGTGAAAATTCTCTGAAGAGAAAGGGAAAGATTGGAACAAGATAAGAAATGAAAGACATTTCAATTCTGAAAGCCGCAAATAAAGGAGTGGAACAACCTGCAAAGGAATATCAAGCTTTGGAACGTCTCGACAAAAAGGAACGAGACACAATGGAAAGGGATATTTCGTCTGGGAGTCTACATAAGTCTCAAAACAAGTAGATTGTAGAAAGAGATCCTAGCCAAATTTCTTATAGAAAAAGAGGGGATTGGCTCACTGCAGAGGGCGAAGTAGTCAGCAGCACCGAGAGGCACCTCGCAGAGCTCAAAGAAGTGCACTGCTGCCACTCCCCTGGCTGCTCGTTGCACCTGATGGAGAGAGAGGGGATGGAGAGGAGGGCGAAAGGGGAGGAGGCGAGGGGGATAGAGGGAGAGAGCAGTCAGCCGCACCGAGAGGCACTTCACAAAGCTCAAAGAAGTGCACTGCTGCCACTCCCTTGGCTGCTCGTTGCACCTGATGGTGGGCATTTGGAGGGGAGGGAGTAAGTGGAGAACGAGGAGGGAGATTTTGCAGCACCGAGGGGCACCTTGCAGCACCAAGGTGCACCACAAAGAGCTCAAAGAAGTTGACTTCAGCCACTCCCCTGGCTGCTCGTTGCACCTGATGGTGGGGGGTGCGACGCAGGGGATGGGAAAAGCGGAAGGGAGGAGAGTAACGTCAACAGCGCAGAGAGGTCATAAGGGACTTCCCTCTCACTGCACTACCCTCTTACAGTGAGAGTGATTTGTTTTTTAGTCGACTCAAAAATAGAGTCGACTAAAAAGCGGAAGGGAGGAGAGTACCGTCAACAGCGCAGAGGACATAAGAGACACCCCTCTCACCGAACTGCCCTCTTACAGTGAGAGTGAGAGAATGGAAGCGACGGAGTGAGAGTAAAGGAGTGAGTGAGAGGACAAGAGCGCAAGAAGTAAAGCATTAAGAGCCACACACTCTAAGTTTCCACCGCATCAGCACTTCCATGTCAACAGGGCGATGAGAACGAAGCACTGCGTGAGAGTGAAGGAATGGAATAGCAGCAAGAGGGAAGGAATGAAAGAGCAAACAAGGACAAAGAGCCAACCGCCTTACTCTCAGTTTCCGGCCCATGAGCACCTCCACGTCCACAGGGCGCAGCTCCGCCCCTCCCATGTGAAGAGAGTGGGAAGCAAATGAGTGAGAGCAAAAGAATAAGAGGAAGCCACTCACCCTGAGTTTCCGCCCCAAGAGCACCTCCACGTCCACAGGGCCCAGCTCCGCCCCTCCCATGATGAGCGAGAAGCACCGCCGAGTGAGAGTGAAGGTAATGAAGGCAAAAGAGCCACTCACTCTGAGTTTCCGTCCCATAAGCACTTCAACGTCCACAGGGCCCAGCTCCGCCCCTCCCATGATGAGCGAGTAGCAAACGAACAGAAGTGAAGGAGTGACAATAAGAGCCACTCACTCTGAGTTTCCTCCCCATGAGCACTTCCACGTCCACAGGGGCCAGCTCCGCGCCTCCCACCAGCAGCTCCACCTTCTTCGCCAGCAGCTCTGCTGCCCCTGGGCCCGTGAAGTACCACCCCTGCTCCACCTGCTCGCATGGTGGAAGGGGAGAGGTTGGGGGAGTAGGAAGGGAGGGTGGACAGCTCACTCAGGGTGGAAGGGTGGGAGGGGAGGGTGGGAAAGGGAGGGTGAGAAGGGGAGAGGTTACAGTCCCCTTCATTCAGACTCGGCAGCTCCGCCCCTCCCACCAGCAGCTCCACCATTTTCCGCAACAGCTCTGCTGCCCCTGGCCCCATGTGAAGTACCACCCCTGCTCCACCTGCACGCATGATGAGAGGGTGCGGGGTGAGGGATGGAGGGTAGGAGTGGGATGTGGAGTGTGGTGTTGGGGGAATTAAAGCACGTGAGTTCCACCTTCAGCAGTGCTACTGCCCCCGCGCCTGTGAAGTACCAACCCTGCTCCACCTGCCAGGAAGAGAGGAGATGAAAGTGAGCGGCAGGACGGTGAGAAACGAGGTGTGCTTCAATCTCTTACAGCATTTCTTTCCCAGCAGACAGCATCATTCACTTCATCTCAAGCACACTCAGCTCACGCACACACTCACCGGTGCCAGCTCCACTCAGAGTGTTTGGTACACTGATTCACTTCACCTCTTGCGCCACACACCGAGCCTGGAACCATGGGTGCAGCTGTGTGCGTGGGCATGGGTGCAGGTGCGCGCTCACACACTTGTGTGCGCGTGTCTGTGTGTGCGTGCATGTGTGTGGGGGTCGAAAACGGGGAGAAGGGGGTGCGGGTGTGTGTGCACAGCACAACAAAAGGCAACACTCACCGCTGCCAGCTTCCTGTAGTCCGTTCCTTCTGAGAATTCTCAAAAGAAATATCCATGTAGTCCGTTCATTGACCTTATCTCATGCACCACACACTGGGACTGGAACCACGGGTGCAGCTCTGTGTGTGTGAGGGTGTGTACATGATTACATGCATCACTAACCAGAGGCCAGCACTCACCGCTGCCAGCTTTCTGTAATCAGTCATTGACTGGATCTCGTGCACCACACACTGGGACTGCGACAAGCAAGAAAGTACACGGTATGGGGATGGCAGGAGAATCCGTTGAGTTCAACTCTTTCAGGCACCACAGAATGCATCGCAAGGCAAGCTTGAGCCAGCTACAGACCGAAGTCCGGAACAGCCAGTTTCAGGCTGGTTCTAGACTCGTCTGGCCTGAAGCTGAAGCCACGGCCGGGCCACATGGCTTGGTTCGGCCAGCCTGGCCCAACCCAATCTCGCGTGCCCTTTTGTGTATCATTTGTGTGCTTGTTTTGAGTTCTGCATCGTGGCGTTTTGGTTTGACTACACCACGAATAAGTCTCACTTGAGAAGGGCGATGGTTTAACCATGGAAGAAGGAAGCGTCTTAGAATTCGTGCGAAGGAAAGGGGAGACGGAGGGGTAAGAGATTGGTGTAAGATGTCTGTTCCTTGGAATGGGGGCACCATTGTCCTGGAAGAGGTTGTTGCATAGCCAGGACAAGGTTTTTGAGAATTCTTACAAACACCCGCCAGGACAATGTGGAGAGAAGGCGAAGGGTCCAAACTATTGGAGTCCTGATGCTAGCTGGTGGCGAAAAAGAGGGTAGGAGGTTACCTGCAAGCGAGGTTCACCTGGAAGGGAGGAGAATCACCTGAATGGAAGCGATGGGTCACTTGAGAGGGAGCTGGGAACTTACCTGGCGGAGGTGCCTTTTGAGTAGACTCGAAAGGGAAGGGTTCACCTGGAAGGGAGAAGAATCACTTGAATGAGGGAGATCGGTCACCTGAGAGGGAGCAATGGGTCACCTGAGAGAGAGTGAAAGGTCACCTGAGAGGGAGTGAAAGGTCACCTGAGAGGGAGTGAAAGGCCACCTGAGAGGGAGTGAAAGGCCACCTGAGAGGGAGCTGGGAACTCACCTGGAGGAGGGCGATGAAGGGGAGGAAGAGGTCGCGTTGCAGGCCGTTCTCGTAGAGGCGTATTGGGGGGCGATTGGATGTTGCGACGAGCACCTGGAGATGACAGATGTTCCCAAACATGAATGGGACGATGGAAAAGACATGAGGGTACTGGTAGTGCGGGAAAAGGTTATGGCACATCTCAAACGTGGGCTAATATGGAAGAAGGACGTAACTCACCAGTCCTTGGTCAAACAGATGCTTGCAGAGGCGGTTGAGAATCATGGCATCAAGGTGACTTTTGAGTTGACTCAAGAGTCACCTCAGAATTGTAAGGACGGGAAGAAGTTAATATTCAGGGAAGCTCACCAGTCCTCTGTCAAACAGGTGCTTGAAAAGGCGGTTGAGAATCATGGCATCTGCAACGTCTGTCACCTGACAGGTAGTATTTGGGGGAGTTGGAAAGTTTGCAGTGCGGTTCAGAGAGGCAGGGAGAGATGGGAAGAATTGGTTGAGACTGGAGGAATGTAAGATGGTCAGAGAGAAAGAAACAGCGTGCAGAAAAGATGAGAGATTGCAGGCAGGATGAAAGCATGGAAGCCTGGAAGCTGGAAGTCACCTCACGCAACAAGTCCCCCACATACATTATGAGAATACGGTTTCAATCACGATGGACAAACAAAAGATACTGCTGTGCACGCACCATAAACTCATCCAAGCACAGAACTCGCGTTTCCGAGGCAATCTCAGTAGCCACGACTTCCAAGGGGTCAGACGTGCCCTTGTGCTTCTGCGAGGAGAGGCGAGGGGAAAGAGGGGAGAACAGGAAAAGGCCTGTTAATGAGGAGCTTCAAAACAGACTGTCGATTCAGCAGTAATCTAGTTTCACACAATCTCCAAGCGGTCAGACGTGTCCTTGCGTGTGTTTCTGTCAGGAGAGAAGAGGGAGAATGTGGAGTGGAGAGCTCGACATGAAGCTTTACCCAGAGGCAGCAACAGCAAAGGAATTACAGAGAAATTGCAGAGATCCACCAACGTGGCAACATTGCCTACGTGGAAACACTTACCTACGTGCCCACAACTGTCCACGTGGCAAAACTGCCTGCATGGCACCACTCGCCTGTAGTCTGGAGTGCACTGAGAGCATGAAGTCGTGGTAGTGAATCCTGGCCTTTGCGATCCACTCGGGGCTGTAGATATGGAAAACGCAAGCGGGGGGAACAGTACATGAATCAGCCAGGCTACTGTGAGTGCACCGAGAGCATGAAGTCTTGGTAGTGAATCCGTGACTTTGTTATCCATTCTGGGCTGAAGGTGGGAGAAACCCGAAAGCAGTGAGAGCAGTGAGGGGAGTGAGGGGAGTGAGGGTAATGACGGGAGTGAGGGGAGTGAGAGCAGTGAGGCCCCAAATTGCACTGAAAGCATGAAGTCGTGGTAGTGAATCCATGACTTTGTGATCCACTCCGGACCGAAGGCAAGGGAGAAGCAAGACGGAGGAACACGTAAAATGCACCAGCTAAGCTACTACGAGTGCAGTGAGAACAGCGAGGGCAGCAAGGCGCGGTAGTAGACCCTGGTCCTGTGATCCTCTCCCGCCTGAAAGCACTGCAGACCCAGAAGAGGAAATGCACTCACTCACTGATGGTGCTCAGCACACAGGGGTGCTCAGCACAGGGGTGCTCAGCACACAGGTGCTCAGCTCACAGGTGCTCAGCACACAGGTGCTCAGCACACAGGTGCTCAGCACACAGGTGCTCAGCACACAGGTGCTCAGCACACAGGGATGCTCAGCACACAGGTGCTCAGCACACAGGGATGCTCAGCACACAGTCTTGCTTACAGGTCCATCATCATGGTCTTGCCCGTGCCCATGCCAAGGTGCTCTGGGGAAGGTGCGCTTACAGATCTTTCAAAACTCACATTCCCTCACTCATGGCACTTGAAACACTCACACCACCAAAAATACTCACAGCTTGTGGAAGAAGAGGTCCAACATCATGGACTTGCCCATGCCCACACCAAGGCACGTAGGGGAAGGTGCGCTCGCACCTCTCTCAAGGCTCACACCACCCAGAAAATTCGCAGCTCGTGGAAGACTCACAGCTCGTGGAAAAAGAGGTCCATCATCATGGTCTTGCCCGTGCCCACGGGGCCCCACAGGTACAGCCCCCTCATGGGTGGGTGGCTCTGTGGCTTCCTCAACACACACACTGGGGTGCTCAAAGTGCTTTGGCACTTGAGAAACTCACAGGTCGTGGAAGATGGTCTTGCCCGTGCCCACACCAAGCTGTCCAAGACGCTCCCAGCCAGTCATTCACACTCACAGCTCATGCAACAGTCACAGCCCCACCAGCACTCACAACTCGTGGAAGAAGAGGTCCAATGGTCTTGCCCGTGCCCACGCCCCCCCACAGGGGGAGGTGCTGCTGTTCCGAGAGAGGGCTGTTTCACTCACGGACTATTTCAAAACTCACAGCTCGTGGAAGAAGAGGTCCATCATCATGGTCTTGCCCGTGCCCACGCCGCCCCACAGGTACAGCCCCCTCATGGGCGGGTGGCTCTGCGGCTTGCGCATGAACAGCGACCAGAAGGCCGGCCGCCGCTTCCTCCTGGTCGATGGTGGGGAGGGAATGCGGGTGGGTGGGGTAATTTCATAGGGGCTTTAAAGGACTACAGGGAAAGGCCACGCCTCTCATGGGCGGGTGGCTCCGTGGCTTGCGCATGAACAGCGACCAAAAAGCAGGCGCAGGCTGCCGCTTCCTCCTGTCCAGTGCTGACGAAGGGATGGGAACGGATGATACATTGTCAGAGAGGCTTCAAAGAACTACGGAGAGAATCCCCTCATGGGCGGGTGGCTCTGCAGCTTGCGCATGAATGGCGACCAGAAGGCCGGCCGCCGCTTCCTCCTGCTCGGAGTTGACAAGAGGGTTGGGCATGACAGCAGAATGACCACAAAGCACAAAGGGTTGTGTCACCGAATATGCACGGTTGTGCATATAAGGTGCCAGTAATAAGGGGGTGTAGCAAGGGTGTAGTTATGTTGTGTTTGCAGATTCGAGAATGGGTAGGTGGGGGCTGGGAAATTGACGCGAAGTTGGTAGGAGAGCACCAAGGGGTGAAATCCATGCAACCAATGGGAACGAACCAACCCAGGCTCGAGCCGCACATTGAGAAATGCACGGTTCGAGCCAGGGTCAGGTAAGTTCACTCTCACACACACACACAATGCTTTCCGTTTGTTATCCTTTCGTATAGTGGATTGTTGTTACTTCAAGCCTAGCTCACGGGTGACACACCACTCAGGGAGGACCTTTGAGGTGAGAGTCTCAACGCTTTCATGAAGGAGTGAAGAGAAGATGAGCATGAAGACTAAGGCAGATGAGGGAATAGCTGTATCTCCGACAGTTGGGCTCATTAGCGTGCTGTTCTTTGTGGGCCTACCTGTTCGCTGCTAAGAAGCAGAAAGTTTGGTGAGAGTGACGGTGGAGAAATGGATAACGAAACACGCTAGAGAGAGGAGGAGGGGGTGAAGAAAGGGGGGATGGGAAGGAGGAGGTGTGGGTAGGAAAGGGGGGGCGGGGAGGGAGAGAAGTAGGCGGGGGACATAAGGGAAGGGAAATGAGGAAAAATGGGCAGGAAGGGTTCGAGAAGGGGAGGAAAAGGGGGGCGGGCGGGGGTGGGGGGAGAGAGGGGGGGGGGATGGATCAGGGAAGGAGATGCCTACTTTTGCAGTTGGAACTCGGGGTGGCCTCCAAAGCCGATCAGCACATCGTACAGCTTCTGCAGCGTCCCCACGGTTTCGTCCTGAAACGGATCACCCGTTCGCAGCTCCCCCAGCTGCTTCCGCCGCTCGTACTCGCCCTCTGGGCCTGCTCGGAAGACCTTGACTGCCAGGTAGGGTTACCAGCAGCACCAAAGCAGGAGAAGGAAGAATGTTTTGAGGTGCCTCGAAAACCGTTCTCAGCTCCGCCAGCTGCTTTAAAGCCCGCGTCTCATATTTCACAACTTCCAATCAAGTATAATATGCTTGATATCCAGTAACCCTGCCTCTTGTCGCCAAGCTGCACCTTCGCTCTGTACAGGTCGGGGGGTGGTTGGGAACGTGCAAATTGATCAGCTACAGTGTTGTTACCTGAGCTTCAGAACCCAACCAGATGCGGGACGACAACTGCATGCGACTGTAAATGCACAACACGACATGCAACGACGTGACACTGGTTCCGTGCGACACCAAACCCCACAGCACACTGAGTCCCCAGGGAAACCAAGCATATTACAGGGCTCCGATGAAATATGAGACAAGTTAGCAGTCCCTGAAAGAAATCACCGACGAAACGTGCATATCAACGGGCCTACGCTTGAACCACGCCACCATTCAACTACTTTCTGGGAAAAACCAGCTGTGACCCCTGTCCGCATAAAAAAGCCACGTCATATACACAAGCTCGGGAGGGCCGAACGCGGCAGCCCATGCTAGGTTAGCGCCAACTACGAGAAGGAACATTGGGATGCACGACCCGTAGTACTGCAACCCCTTCGCGCCCTCGTCCGCATGAAAACGGCCAACGATAGCCTTCCGGCAAGCGCCTAGGAGAACAAACGGTGAGCAATGTAGAATGGGGGAACAGTGTCGGTATCCAAGAGCACTCAATATCACGCGAGCGGCGCGGCCCAATAGAAAAACAGCCGCATTTGAGAGGGACGCGGCGCGTCGCGGGAAAGAGATACGTCAACAACCACCGAAGTCGCATCCGCTTTTTGGGATAGCTACGGGAAACCGCCGCTTTCGAAAGCAGTAGTGGGGAATTACCCATGGGCTGAACGCGACGCATCCTGAAGATACGGGAAAGAGGGGAAAACCTGACGCGGGGAAGACGGGCGACGCAAAATGGCATAGAGCAGGAAACCGGGAATGGCGACACGGGGAGGCGAGGGGGGGCTTAGGAGGCGCGGGCATGGGAGAGGGATATGCGGAGAGGGGGTGGAAGAGTGAGGCTGGAGGGGATATGGAAAGGCGGGAATGGGTAATGATAAGCGGAGGGGATAGGGAGAGGCGGAGAAGGGGGAGGTGGGGGAGCTTGGAGTGGATACAGGGAGGCACGAAAGGGGCAAGGATCCCGGGTAAGGGGAAAGGGAGATGCGGAGAAGGGGGAATGTCAAGATCTGAGGGTAGACGGGAAGGCGGGAAGGGGTAGTGAGGCGCGGGAAGGGGACAGAGAGAGGCGGAGAAGGGGGAATTTGCGATCCATTTGCGGATCCGCTCGGAGGACGTGTGGGCCTCATTTATCCGATCTAATTTTGACCCTCATGTGCTTCGTACCCTCATTTGTTTCGTACCTTCAGGATCTGAAGCCGGAAGAGCATCGCCAGACGACGCTGCCGCGCCCCACAAGCTTCGTCGACTGAACTCGTTACAGGACCATCGATGATTCGACCCGTTATAAGACCACCGTTGATTCAACCCGTTAAGAGCGCACTCCGATACAACCACTGTGCCTGTTCTACAGTCGGACGAATTTGCCGGTACTAAGCTTCTCGCATGTCGCACTGTACATGCTGATTGATGACTCCATTCTCGCGCTGCTTCTGGTCGGGCTATTGCTCTCTGGTCGGCGAGAATCAGTCTCGAAGGAAACGTTATCCCCTCTATCAACCTAGCTACTCTCCGAAATCTGGACATGTCTGTTGTAATGCAAGTCTTGTTTGTTCTATAGTCTTGCGGTGGAGCCTGGCTTCGGTCTATCGCTCCAGCTGATTGCTGATCACTCTTACGCGGCGACCCAATATCCAACTGATGGTCTGGAAATTTTAAGATCTAACGAACGTGTGCCTCGTGGCCTCACGGGCTATCCTAATGAGCGGCATGATAATAATGGGGGATGACCGTTAGCAGAGCTAGCGCACGTCAGTGAAGTACAGAGATTACGAGGTTCACCAATCACTCGGCTGAAAATACCGTTTGTAATCGCGCAATGGAAGAGATGTCAAAGGCATCAATGTATGGTACAAATTCGCAATGCGGCTGCAAGCAGTTGTGAGCGCGCTACATTGAACAAAGCAGCTGCGAACGAGTCAACAAAGCACGGAACGGAAATGTATGTGTGAAGGGCAATGGTATTGCCGCCTGGCTCGCGATGGTCTTAGAAAATGGCCAGCCCCAGGCCCGAAGAGCTCAATGAAGGTCACGCAAGTCCCAAGGTGCGCCTGAAGACGGTCTCACGACGAGCTTTCAAACCAGAACGAGTGAAGCACATACACTGGCAAGCTTGTCAGGCAAATTCCAAGACTTCGGCTTGCACGGAGAAACTCTCTGAAGGGGTTGGGTTGGGTGGGAAGGATAGTTGTTGGCGGGAAACAAATTTCTTTGGTCAAGTCGGCGGATGACGTGGATAAGAGAGCCCACGTGACGCAAGCACCAGATCAGCATTAGGCCGCAATCTGTCAGCACACCTCCTGCTTGGCTGGAGCCCCCCCAAAACGAAGTTGCCCAGCCAAACCCCTCCATCCAATTATTCAAACTTGATAAATACACCTTCGTACTTGCTATTATTTCAACGCAGTGTATATGTTGCCTCAAACCGTCGACAAATCAATTATCATGAATGAAAGTCACAAACCACCTCATAACAGCATGCGATATAGAGCTTCATTGGAATCAAATTCGTGAAAAGACTGAAAGGGACGACTCGACTTGAATGTATTTTTCCCGCTCCACTGGTTTCAGGTCCATACACTCTTATGCTTATACAGATGCTCCACTCTAATCGGGCCGAAGTTGGGCCTCTCCTCCCGAAGCCGGGGGCCCGAAGAACCTCGATGCCTTCGGCGTCGTACCCCCGGCACGCGAAGCAGGCCCAGGCTGGCACTGCGGCACGCGGCCAACCCCTAGCGTGATTTCGGAGGGCCGACCCTTCGGCCCCTGCCAGGGACACGAGGCCTCAACTGCTCCTGGGAAGCACGCTGACTCAGCAGTGGGGACCACACCCTCGTTCGGCTCGAAACACCAGTGATCGGCCGTGTGAGGTCCCCGTTACAGATAAAGATGAAAATAGTATTCTAAAATCATAACGGAAAGTGAGGCAGCATCTCATATAAATCGCCACCCACTCTCTCAAAATTCACAGGGTGTAAGCGCGAACGAAGTGTGTTCACGAAATTCTCTTTCCGCCCCGCTTGTCAACCACGGTGCCACGCCTTCTTCCCACGAAAATGCGATGGGCTTGCATTCCCTCGCGGGATTTTTTCCTTAGCCCCACTTTCCGGGTTGCTAACAAACCTCCACCCTTCCACCCCAACCAGAAAACGTTGTTGATGCATTGCTGGGTGTTTGCCCGGGAATTCGCGGAAACGTTTTTTTCGCGCGGGTGTACATAGCCCGGATGTTCGCGGGGTTTGCCTGCTGACCTGGCTCTGATCTGGCCTGTGAGTTCGCGGACTTCTAACTTTTGGGGCACGAGCCATGAATGTCCCTGCACAGTGGGGGAAAAATCACCCAACCCGACGGTTTTCGGATTTGTGTCAAATCGGTCGACCACTCGTGCTCCACGTCAGCACTATTTCGAATTCCAAAACTCCGAAAGCCGTCGGGTTTGGTGATTTTTCCCACAGTGGGCTGTCACTCGGTGGCGCGAAAATTTTAGCTTCAGCTGAACGAGGATAGGTTGTAAACAATATGTTACTAAAAAGAACGTTCAAGTGCGGTGCAAAACGGTTTAACCTGGATTGTCCCAAAACGCACACGCGAAAGGGAATACACTTTGCTTCGCTGGTGGGCATTCCTTCGGGTGTTCAGTCAATTGGTATGTGCTTCAAGTTGGTGCAGAGCTTGTAGTCGGCGGGTTGGGCTGGCGTTGTCCGTTTTACGAGATTTCATATTTTGCTTTTGGCTCACTCATGTTGCCCCCAAATTCGTAAACACGAGGATATAGATTGACTTGGCTAGTCAAATCGCCTGTATGTTCGCGGATTTCAGCGGGGAATTCCGCGCGAAATACCTTTCATTAGGTGACGCGAAAACTTACGGGTCACTTTCAAATTAATTGTTCGCTCTTGTGGATTCAGTACGGTAAACCGCAATAATATTACAGTTTAAAACGGTCAAATCTCAGAACCGCTGTTAATATTGCTGTAGCGACCGCGGGAAACAAACGGAAAATTCACACGCGGGAAGTTATTTGCTTCGCTTGTGAATTTCACCTAGCAAGTTCGCGGATTTCAGGTTTTTGCTGCTCGATTTCTATTTTTGTGATTTGTTTTATCCCAGCAACTGCGGGTGTTTTCGCGCGCGATACTTTTGCATTCGGAACATGAAATGTACGAATTGTGCTGGAAACTTTGACAGAAACGCCACCGCGAGAATTTTCGAGGGGTGCGAAAACAATCGGGTTCCGCAAAACGGGCTGGAACTGCACAATCACGTTCGCTTCCGTGCTGGCAGATGAATGTGCCGCAGATGTCGGCGGTGCACCTGCAAATACAGTGTACAGTGGCCCGATTTTTTCGCGGTATGATTAATCGCGGTCACGAACGCAGTACCTTTTTCGGGTTTTTTTTTTTCGTGTCAGCGGCACACAGGTGATTCCCTGCGACGAGTATGTTGCATGGGTTGGACAATGGTTAGAACGAAACCACGGTTTGTTTCTCCTTATTCTAGTTTTCTCTTTCGCTCGTGGTAGCTGGTTTGCAAGTCGGGGAAGTGTTACTTAGACGGTTTCGCGGATTCTGTCATTCACGTAGACGATTTCACGCGGGTGAACTCGTTCTTTGTAGCGATGAATGTTATCAGGAATCTTCATGCGCGCGAGGAAATTCCCCACTCCCGTGCGTTTCCCATTTTTCCCAAGTTTCGTGGGGCGCGCGGAATGCTGTGCAAGATTCGGTTAAGAACGGTGAAAACCTTGTACCGCTGCTGTTCGTATTTGCACCGTATTTGACCGCGGGAAACAAACAGAATCGCACACCATTGTCGTATTTGCTTTATTAGGAGAGTTCGCGGATTTCCTATATTTCTGCTGTAGTTTGTTTTATCAAAGCAACTGCTGATGTTTTCGCGCGCGAAACTTCACTGGGTGGCGCGAAAGTTGTGCTGCTTGGTGGCGCGAAAACTTCTGTGTGTTCTGTACCGCACGATCTGAGCCGCGGATGTCGGTGGTTTCCTGCATATAGCCAGATAGTTTCGCGGTCATAAAAGAATCTCGATGGTGTTTAATTGGGCTAGTGTATTTCGTGTTTCGTGTCAGCACGCTAGTGCCTCCTTGCGAAAGTTTGTACAGCTAGTAAACAAAACATTTTCGTGCGGAGGCGAAACCAGCCCCACGGCTTGGGCTTCCAATTGTTTTCGTGGGGCACGCGGAATGACGTTTCAGGGCGCGAACGTATTTCACGAGAGCAATCCGCGTGATTGTCAACTGGTTTTCGTGGCACACGACGAAATGGTTACCTTCGTGATCGTCGATGGTCGTGTAGCGTTAGATTCTTACGTCGCATATGATTCGCGCAAAACGAGAGCCATGCGATTAACTTAGATTCGGGTTGCGAGATGTTTTCGCATCACTGAATCTGGACGTCGACCTCTGTAATTCTGACACTTGGAATCTTAACGACGTTTCCGAGCTCGACACGTGGAGCGCGGACGCGGAAACTAAGCTCCCCGCAGAATTCCCCGCAACACGTGGTCCAATGGGACGAATTGTAACCCGGATGAAAACTAGGCTGTTGTCGGCCCGAAGGAACTTCGGAGCTCCCAAGGGCCAACTCCGGACCAGGAGGGACTTCGGAGCTGGTGGCCCGCGTGGCCGTCTGACGTCACATTTCCCTCCCCCTCGCCCGGGTAATCATGCGCGGATGACGTCATTACTTCACTGTTCGTATGTATTATCCAATTATGCGCCATTCTTTTGAATTCGCACGAACATTGTTGGGGATGGAAGTTGACGAGTCAAACAGGCCCAGTCAGCTATTCCCGGGTCGCGACGATGAGGGTCAGCGCGCTTCTGAATCCGTCGTCAAGCAATTTCTCGGATTCAGAATCACTGACACTTCGTCTGCAGTTTTCTTCCCCGAAGGATCTGTTATCTTTGGCGGTGCGATTTCCCTCCATCCAGTTTTGCGGAAGACATCCCACACACATAAATTGAATGGAAAGCAGGCAACCAAAACACAACATAGCAGAACCACTTCAGAAAAAACGGGTTCAGAAACGCGTTTGACACCACTTGAAGTGGCATCGTTAAAGTTTCTCCGCGGCAATTTTCCCTTCGCTATGCATCGACGCAAGGCGTTATCGTCTGCTCGTATAGCAGACAGCAGCGGCTTGGTTCTTCTCCTGCTCCTCGGCTCTGCCGCGCTGCTCTGCTTCCCAAGCGCCGCAGATGGCGCGAGGCACATGACGCTTCGGTCGCAGGGAGTCGTATCGAGCGGCCGGACCATAGCGCACACGATATGGACGTCCGGAAGCACGTTCCTTCGCGGCAATATCAACGGCGTTAAAAGGAGCAACGGTGGCAACACCGCAGTTTCTGCTACTACAACCACCGGCACTACAACCCTAGCTGCTGGCTCCGCGGGTGCTACAACCGCGGCGGCGGGCGCGGGGTGCGCGGCGTCGGCGCTGGATGGGTTCGCGTGGTCGGCGGCGCTGGGGTCCACTGGACTCACGCTGCATTGGCGCGCAGTGGACTCGTCGCGTCTCGCCTTGGCGCTGGAAGCGGCGGGCGGCAGCGCGGCGGCGGCGGGGTGGTTCGCCGTGGGGTGGTCGGCGACGGGCCGCATGGCGGCGTCCGACGCCGTGGTGGGCAATCTGGCGGGCGGCGCCGCCGTCCAGGCGGTGTACATGAGCGGCACGGCGCAGAGCGACGTTCAGCCCACAAGCAGCTTCGATATTGGCAACGCGCAGCTCGCCACGTCACCCTCGGGATCCACCATCCTCAAGTAGGTCGGGCCACTGGTTTGGGATGTTGCGGTCTTGCCCTCGGGAAGGTATATGTCACCGGAAATAGGGCTCAGGGTTTAGGGTTTGAGATACTACTACTTGTCATTCTAAGTTGTGCTTTCCTTTCTCTTTCATTCTCTCTTTTCTCTCTGACTCTCACACTCACACACACCCTCCCCAACCCCAACCCCACCTCCCTCTATTCCCTTCCCCCTCTCTTGCTCCAGATTCAACCCAATTTGAATCTCCCGCCCACACACTCATTCTCCGCTGCCATCTCCCTCCGTTTTTCTCTTGCTGCAGGTTCAACCGCACAGCAGGAGACGGGTCGGTGGCGGTGAGCGTGCAGGGCAGCAACACACTCGTGTGGGCGCACTCCCCCGATGGCTCGCAGTCCCTCGGCTTCCACGCCGGATATGAGTGAGTGGTCCCTCACCAGCCCAAGGTGAGAGAGAAGTACATTGAGCGAGTGCAGTCCCTCGGCTCCCACGCCGGATATGAGTGAGTGGTCCAACACTAGCACATACATGGGTGTGAGAGAGAAGAGAGAGTGCAGTCCCTCGGCTTCCACGCCGGATATGAGTGAGTGGTCCAACACCAGCCCAAGGTGAGAGAGTGAGTACAGTGAGAGAGTGCAGTCCCTCGGCTTCCACGCCGGATATGAGTGAGTGCCACTGCCCATAAGCGGTCCATCGCTTTTTCTTTTCCATCACACATAGTATCAGAGGATGATTCTTTCATGCTCCTGCTATTCTGCTTCTCCCACTAATCCTCTCCCACTTTGTCTCCTTCTCTCTCTCTCCCTCTCTCCCTCTCCCTATCTCTCTTTCCACTGGCAGTGGCGCGCTGCAAGTGGACTTCGCATGCTCCTCTGCCTCGTCCGGAGGGGGAGGGGGTGGCGGCACTGGTGGGGGCGCGGGGGGAGGCACTGGCGGAGGTGGGGGCGACTATGGGGGTGACTACAGCGGGGGGAACAACGGCGGAGGTGATTACGGTGGTGGTAGTGGAGGGAATGGAGGAGGCTATGGGGGTGGCAGCGGCGGTGGGGAGAATGGTGGCGGAGGGAGCAGTGGTGGGAGGGTAGGAGGCGGAGGAAGGGGAGGCGGTGGGGGGGACTGCAGGAGAGGGCCTGGGGGCGGACAGGGGGGCCCTGGGGGCGGTCAGGGCGGACCTGGGGTCGGGCGAGGAGGGCCAGGGGGCGGGCAAGGGGGAGCTGGTGCGGGACAGGGGGGATTTGGGGGCGGACAGGGGGGATTTGGGGGCGGACAGTGGGGATCTGGGAGCGGGCAGGGCGGATTTGGGGGTGGACAGGGCGGATTTGGGGGCGGGCAGGGCGGATTTGGGGGCGGACAGGGCGGATTTGGGGGCGGACAGGGCGGATTCGGGGACGGGCAGGGCGGACCTGGCGCTGGTGGGGGGCAAGGGGGAGCTGGAGGCGGGCAAGGGGGGGCTGGGGGCGGTAATGGTGGTGACTACAGCAATGGGGGGAGCTTCAGCGGTGGTAATGGCGGAGACAACACAGGCGGACAAGGTGGTTTCTACAGCGCTGGAGCAGGGGGAGGAGGAGTGGGGGCTGGTGCTGCTGGGGGTGCTGCTGGTGGTGCTGCTGGTGGGGGCTGTGGGGGAGGACAAGGGCAAGGCGGGGGATTTGGGGGACAGGGGGGAGCTGGGGGAGGGCAGGGCGGACCTAGGAGCGGGCAGGGGGGAGCTGGAGGCGGGCAGGGCGGACCTGGGGGAGGCTATGGTGGAGGGAGCAATGGCGGGGATTATGGTGGTGGTAATGGCGGTGGTGACTATAGCGGGGGAAATGGAGGGGACTACAGCACTGGCGGTGACTACAGCGGGGGGATCACGGGAGGGGGCTATGGTGGGGGCAATGGCGGTGACTATAATGGGGGAAGCTACAGTGGTGATTACAGTGGAGGGACGGGCGGCAGTCAGGGAGGCCCATCTGGGGGCGGTGTGAGTGGCGGGGGAGGCATGGGCGGTGGAGGCATGGGCGGTGGTGCTGCTGGCGGTGGGATGGGAGGGCCTGGGGGAATGACTGGGGGAGGAATTATGGGGGGAGGAGGCATGGGGGGAGGAGGCATGGGCGGGGGAGGCATGGGCGGTGGTGCTGCTGGCGGTGGCATGGGAGGGCCTGGGGGAATGACTGGGGGAGGAGGCATGGGAGGAGGAGGCATGGGGGGCGGAGGCATGGGCGGTGGTGTTGCTGCTGGCGGTGGCATGGGAGGGCCTGGGGGATGACTGGCGGAGGAAGCATGGGAGGAGGAGGCATGGGAGGAGGAGGCATGGGAGGAGGAGGCATGGGTGGTGGTGCTGCTGGTGGTGGCCTTGGGGGTCCAGGGGGGATGGGGGGAGGCGGAGGCATGGGAGGGGGCGGGGGCATGGGAGGGGGTGGGGGGATGGGAGGAGGCGGGGGCATGGGAGGGGGCGGGGGAATGGGAGGTGGCGCGGGAATGGGAGGTGGCGTGGGAATGGGAGGTGGCGGGGGAATGGGAGGGCCTGGGGGCGGCATGGGCGGAGGAGGAATGAGGGGAGGGGGAGGGATGGGCGGTGGAGGCATGGGAGGAGGAGGCATGGGAGGGGGCAGGCCTTAGTGGTTCACAGTGTGGATAGGCATTCAGGCAGGCAGGCGGGCAGGCGGGCAGGCAAACATGTGCGTCAAGCTATGCAGTTCTCGGTCAAGGATAGGGTCAGCACCCGTAGGGGGAAGGAGCTGGCCAAGGGAATGCATGGGGAGAAGACTAGCTAAGGGAGTGTTGAGTGAATGGATGAGCTTTGATTCACCTCAAGCCCCATCGCACCTGCTGCTGCTGCTGAGGTGCATCAAAGCCCATCCGCCCGCTCTAGGCTTGTTTGTAGATTCTTGTTTTTTGTTGTTTTAGTTCCCTATCTTGCTTCTATTGCCTGCTGCTTGTTATTGAAGTGAGCAATACATGTGTGTGCTTTGAATGAGTGTAACTTCCATCTCCTTAACAATGTTGGAACTGCATTCTGAGAAAGGGTGCGCATGTGTTTCACCTTTAATTATCTGATTTTGCAAACTTACAAACATC